AATAACCCTAAATGAAAAAAAATTTGTTAAACCTGAAATATTATCCAGATAGTCTACTGAGTTGAAATGTGTTATCAAATTTTTTTTCTACTCTTAAAAGAAAAATCGGGTATAGAAGGGATAAGTAGGGGTTTGGTTTATGTTTCGATCGAGGCTATTTGGTTAGACCCATTTCTGATCGATGCAATCGGGTATATTTGCATGTGAATTAGTCGGTTCGGTGTTCGACCTGATTCGAGCGGGTTTAGACTAAGTTCTGGACTAGGTTGACACGTTCATTGCCACAGTGAAAAAGGCCGTACATGGCCAGACACGCGTTATTTCGTTTTTTCAAGTAATAACCAACCATGCTCCTTCAGGTTTAGCAACCTTACTTTAGTTTCCACCGAATTTATCTACATTACGCGAGATCTAATCAAGTATATGTCACATTCAACCACGAATCTTTCGCCAGCCGAGGTGCTACTACAACCCCAATAAAAACTTTCAAAAATCATAAAATTATATATCGGCAGAATTAAATCGTGTCGATCGAGGGCGTCGTTTAAAGGAGGGATAACGTGTCTGTATATGTGTGTGTAGAGTAGAAAACAAGAGATAGAAGGCTCGATAGATACTCGATTGGCTGCAACCACGAGGTTCCAACGAGAACGTAAGAGGGATGGATGAAGGGAGGTGAATCTTCAGCTTCCGGTTTCGACGATGTCGCCGGGAGAGGCCAGGGATAATCCGATATCCCGAAAGAGAACCGAGAACACCTTTACAAAAAGAGCGTTGAGTAGCTCGAGTATATACCAGGAGAGGATAATGGGTGGCCCCCGCGAAACGTACATACACAGCCTGAAAAGAGACCAGAGTTGCCTCTTGCACGGTTTTATGCGACCCCTCGCGACGGACAAACGAGATACCAGAGTAAACTCTTAATACCTTCTGGGTTGCAAAGCGGAGACGTCCATCATATTTCGTTTTAAAAAAGATCCCTGATATCGACAGCTAAAAATGATCGATTTCACGTGGAATGACAGAATAATGAGAACAAAGTTAAAGAAAAGCGAATTCTTGAATTAGAATGCAAGATCGAAGAGTTATTCGAGTTCCAATGTTTAATTCAGTGATAAAAAGAATTTTATTCTAGCAACAATTACGTAAAGATTCGGTTCTTCGAGCAATTATCCAGTCGCTTCAATTATTTCCCAATCGGACAATAATAAATTCCATTTAAACGGAGCACCCCGTTTTCATTATGGAAGCGTTTGTGTGTCGGGGGGCCCGATCGAATCTCGTTAAGAGCCGACCGGCGAGACTAATTACTGGAAACCAATGCAGTTTCGTCGGTCGACCACGGTTCTTCTTTCTCTCTGCCGCGGTTTAATATTCGGTTACGAAAATTGAATGTTTTCAAGGCGAGCAAGTGGACACGACGATACGCCGTTCGTCCATACCTAAGCTACGGTGGAAACACAGACAGCATATGGGAGACGGGGGCTGGTTGTCTGCAGTGGCGTTCACGCTATTACTCAGCGTTTTCTGGCAAGTAGTAAGTATTAGAAAAAAATAGAAGAGCAATAGGTTTCACCGCTTTCTATGACTAACATAACAGTCCATATAAATTTTGTATGTTTGCAATATTTTACGAGGAACAGAGGTGACCTTTAATTTTTTAAACGGAATGATATACATTTTTTTTTATGTTATATGAAAGCATTTGATAAGATGAATTCATTAATTTGTTACAAGATGATCTTCACGATCATGCAACGTCAGAAATGAAATAAACATTTTGAATATTTCGTACCAATGTGTTCACAGTTCATAAGTATTTTTTATTGCCGAGCAAATGTTCAATATGACTTCCTTGTGCATGAATGCATATTTCAAGAGACGATCGTCACGAAGAGAACAAAGACGTCCATTGGCGGGTCACGTTCGATCAGATTCAAGCGGCTCTCCGGAATAGTTTAAACGCCAAAGAATTTCGTTCCTCGATCCAGTCCATCCGAAAAACTCATTAAGATCCTCGGTAAGAGAGACGAAGAAACCGTCGACGACAGAAATTCGAGGGGGAGCAAGCACAGAGCGCTTTCTTGTGTAACACAGAGCGATGCCCACTGGATCACCGAGGCAAAAAAACCGTTTCCGCGGTGCGTTACGAGCGAGAGTAAAGCTGGATAACTTCCCATGTCCGACAGAACGGTTGACCGCTGCTGACCGGCCACTTGTCTGTTCTGATAATGTTTGACAATGCTTAACAAAGTTCTGGCAAGGTTTGACAAACGTCTGGCAATGTTTGACAAAGTTCTGCCAAGGTCTGACGAAGTTCTGAGCACTTAACAAGCAATCGAAAGATACAAATCAATCGAAATACCCAATCCCACTCATTAACAAACCCACTCTAATAACATTGACGGACCAGAACAAGGAGAACATCCTGCATTCGAATTCGGTTCCTATTTCACACGAAGTATTCTTTCGTAATAGCACGAGGACACAAAATCCAACGAACCTGAAATCAAATATGAATCACCCTCGTAACGAGAATCGAACGAAACCCACTGGACCAAAAATATCGAAAGGGACCCGTACGACACGACGACCGAGTCCCAGATCGCTTGCACGGTGTTCTTTGTGGGCGATTTTATGCGTCGTCCCACACACCGCGTCGGAGGTAGTGGGTACACGAGGAAGTGTCCACTAACGAGTGCACGTACGACGACGACCATGACGACCTAAATCGCGTCGGGCGCGCGCTTGAATTCCGGTGGTTTGATCGCGACCGAACCGAGCGCGCAAAGCAAAAACTCGACTCTCAATCATAGTGGCTCAACTCATTAGCGTACGGCGTCGTCATCCTCGTGAGAGGACGAAATGCGTGTGTGTGTGTGTTCAGCAGCCTCTGGGCATTGAACGCCTTTTACCCAGTTACACGGATACTCCATCGCGGTCCCTAGGCCACTAACTTCCGAATGAAATAATTCGCTGCAGATTTCTACCACTTAGGAGGAAACGCAATATGAAACTCTAAAAAAAAAAAAACGATTTTTTTAAAATGTTTTCTTAAAGTTTAACTCTTCAAAAGCACTATCCGAAACTGGTAAATTGATATTCGAAGAATTTACGAAGGTACAGTGCATTTCGAGTGCATAAATAATTTCAAGTCAAACTTCAAACGTAAAACGAAAGACCGAGGACAATAACCGTCAGCTAGAAAAATTCCTAAAGCTATTACTTCCAACCGAAGAAACCACCCCGAGAACGTCCAGATTCTATTTACTCCCCGATAATCCAATTAAGGAACCGAGATTCGATCCGGTTCACTCTCAGCGAAAGAAGTGCACCAATGTCCTCCCTTCCCCTCCAAATATTTCCGGTCCCGTAGCTGCCCGATACGTCCGGTTCGACTGTCAACTCATAAAGGAAAGAGAGTCCAACGAGATGATCATTTGGCCGTCTTGCCGCTCTCTTGTGGGGATCCCAGAGACGACTGTGGGAGGGAGGGGGATTAAAGAGCCCTCGCAAGTTGCGAGTCGCAACACAAGAAACGACAGTGGGTCGTCGTCTTCGTCCGTCGTCGGTGTCGGTCGTTGGGTCGGCAAACCCAGCGGATGAATGGACCTGGCCCTGGGGGTGGTTCACCAGCTGACTGAGGTTGTCGTCATGGCAACGGACCAACCCGGGAGCAACGCCCCACCCCTACAAAATTCATACCTACAGTTCCCTCTGTATACAGCTATATAGCCACCCCCTCCCCCAGCTTCCTCCACCCCCATCGAGGCGCTCTATTATACTTGGATTCCCTACTTTTAATTCTCTTTCGTACTCGCTCCCTGGAAACTCTCCCTGAGTCTTCTGCAGAGAAAGGGTTAAAACTTAACCCTTTTCTGGCTTCCACCAAGGAAGAATGAAACTTTTTATGACATTTTTTTACAAACTAATTTACAGATATTGGGGACAAACAGAAGTTTATTTACTGTATTCAGTATTCTACCGAGTTTCAAATAAAATGAAGACCTCTTTAAACGTTATCGAACTCGGAACTACAGTAAATCCTCGATGAGTGTTCGAAGGCTCATTGGCATTGACTAAGAGAGATCCCCAGATGTAACGCTGACTTTTTGATCCAATTTTATCAATAGTTTTAATGCCTGCCGCTTTACCATGCCACCAAAAGGCTGGGTCTCCAGTGACCCACGTTCGTTATTCGACGGTTTAATAATTCACGACAGCACAGGGTACGAGTTATCTGCAACTGGTATGCAGTATGGCGAAGCAAACAGAAATGTGTGCCTAGAATTCGTGTAGAAAAAACACGGAAATTGCGGTGAATCCTTGTCTTGATTGGATCGTTACGCGCTGCGGCAAAGAATGAACACTCGAGTGGCGGCTCGCTCAGGCAAGAGCATGGCAGAGGAATTCTAACTCTAGGACGTAATGACGAGAGGAATGACGAAATGAACGGACATCCGTTCGTCGGTTTTTGCGAAACACACTTTGTCTGCGCGGAGCGTGGCGGTTCACATATGCGATATCGACTGCGCGTGTTAGTTCCCGCGTGATTTCAACATGGACAATTATACATACTTTGAAATTCCATTTTAACGACCATATTATACAGAGTGGACCATGAAACGTGATCAGCTTAGATTATTCTATTGTCGTAAATAGAACTATTTTTGTAAGATAGCTATTTATAAGATTACTGTACGTCATAAATAGAATTAAATAGTCGTTTCTTAACCGTATACGCAAGTGTATTGCCAAAGTACCAAGGAATCGATATGTTGAATTAAATTTCAAAAGATTGTAAAGTTGAATAAAAATCGGAACAAACTATTAGTTGGAGCTCGACTTGAAAAATTCTATTCGGTGTTTCGATTCTCCCAGTGGCTATTTTGAACCATTCGGTCCAGTCACCTTAGGGGATCGATAGCAATCCGAGACTTTACCGGACCACGGATACAGGGTTTAATTCTGTCCAACGCTTGGATTCAATCAAAGGATACATATATCTGGTCCCTCCCGTATCGGACTTGGAGATTCCGATTGATTCCCGTCTCGTCGATGTCGCTGATCACCGTCATGTCCGGGACCCCGAACTCAGGGCTCGAGCCTAAAACAAAAGAACCATAAAGATGGGTTAGTGATACGTCGCCTAGTTAACAAGTCTGAGAAACTATATCTATTTATATGTTAACCCTAGGACGACGGTGTTGTGTGTGGGTCCATTTTGACCGGAATTTCAGAAACATCACGCACCATTCCAGTTTGCAAATACTATTTGAAGCGTACGGTTGTTTATACAGTGCACTCTTGATATATTACCGCGGCCGGGGCTGAAGGAAAGAAAAATTCTCGGAAGTGGCAATATATCGAGAGTTTACTGTACTATCACTTTATAAGACCGATATATTTTGAAGAAATTCGTTCCAAAACACATCTAAAAGTAGACTGTCTGATCATCAAAAACTTCCACCTTTCGAGGGTTAAAGCTCTCTATTAGAGCTCAGATGATCATTCGACATTAATCACACGTTTGGTGGACAGCAACGCGATATGGAAACCTGGTGAATTCCCCTGACCACCTGTTGTTCAAAGCAGACAATGCCCGCACGTGGTGATTCCTTGTCACCTCGAGTGGTCAATTTCGAGGACAATCGAACCTTTAATAGGAAATCGAGAACGCGACGGTGATATATAGTATTAGGGCGCCGAGGGCTCGAGAGATAAAGAGAATCGATCGAGAGGGGCTCTCTTAAACGATTACTAAAGTATTCATAAACATTCATATATGTAAAGAACAACAAATAAATTTCATAACAAATATTTTTAAACAGTGATTTAATTCTGCCAGTTGATAAGTGTTTAACTTAGAATTCAATAATTTTACAAAAGTTCATGAATTTTTGGGGAGAATTATTTTTCATCGAACCAAGCGATTTTCTTTAGGTTGCCTGACGATGGCAACCACTGTATTAAAGCCAATAATAAAATAAAATCACCGTATTTTAATGAACACCTGCTTGGCAAGTTTCTTCCCCCTTGAAAGAATTCTAAATTAGTCCCATGTTCTTCGAAAAATATTTTCAATTTACGCCCCACCTTGATGCGATCGGTAATTGCTCGCATCCCCTATGACGATAAAAAATATTGGCGCTGCACGTCGGCGGTTGGTAGTGTTAAAGCATCGAACAAAAAATCCAGACTTCACCCTGTCTCGACCGTGAGCCTCCTCCGATCATCAGGACGAACAACCACGTGCTCGCAGAAGGGCAGGTGCGACTACGTGCAATGCACCTGCGAGGAGCACCGTTGCCACCTGCACGTCAGCTGCCCTGGGTCCTACTTCCCCAAGGACGCGCGTGTCACGTGACTCTCCTTCTGGCCCGCCTTGCGAACTATCCGCGAAATTTAATATACATTTCAAGCCGGTTCGATGCTCGATCACCGAGGAAGATTTTTCCTGGAAGGACGCCGTATGTGCTTCACGCTACTAGCGCGGGAATCTTTGTCCCTCGACTAACCTATAAATCGATCTTCAATTGCGCAATCAACTGTGGATTATTCCCACTTTCAGACAATCACTCGAATTATCTCCTTCCTGGCATATTATAATAATTATGGTACAAATGTGTTCGAAAAACATGCAATAATGACCGAAGTAACGATCTCAAACTGCAGCTGCATTTAATTCTCTCTTTTTTTCACAGCCATTCCGGTTCCATGTTCCCGCGTGCAATCAGTTTCCGAGATTAAGCCGCGATTACAAGAAGCCGCCGCGCGACGAACCGCGTGCAAACTTCGGTGGGGTTCATTACGAGCAACTTGTATTCAATTTCCATGAACGGTGTTCCTACTAAGGCGATGTTTGTCTCTCTCGCCTGTTCTTCCATGAAACGGCCACCCTCCCCCCCCCCTTGCCGATCCTCCCCGAGCTTCCTATTTTCTCTGTCGTTCGTTGGAAACCGCGTGGCGCCCTAATTCACTGTTGTGTGTCACGTGACTTTTAGGGATTCCTGCGCAGCAGTAATCAGTTTTCAAAAACTTTCTAGGGACGTTTGTCTCGAATGTTACTGTTACGCAGATCCCCCCATTGATTGATACTTGTTTAATGCTAATGGAATACTTTATATATTTATTGATTTCCAGTGTGCAATAATTTTAATGGGAAAAGTAATTGTTCTTTTCTGTGAACAGTGTGTACTTGTATCTGAAAACGCTACAAGAATCCAAGATGGCGGCTTAACTTGCGGAACTGTGCATTTGAATTTTGTCTCTGTTCTTTGTTTTCGTGTTTTTCCCATTTATCGCGGGAAACACTTCAGCTTCGAGGTTATTGCGGTGACCGACGGGCAAGTGTACAATTTACGGCCGCGAGAGACCGGTGACACGCGGCTGGAATATTCTGAAGCACCGGGGAAGAAGACAGGGATGGCGGCATATTCATTAGCTTGGTATAATTATTCATCCTCGTCTCCTATCTGCCTCGAATAACGAATGAAACCTGGAAACTATGAATTTATCTGCCACTCTGTCTGTACCTTCGACCACGGGATACATTTTAACTTCGAATGTCTCGCCTAGGCATTATTAAAAGGGTTTTTATGGTAGCATTGACGAATCGCCAAACTTTACGTTCTTCACTAATTTCTGACGACAAAAAACTCCTACAAATGTACCTTATTAATACTTGACGAGCAATATCTCTTACGTTTATACAATTACATATATAATCAATTATACAATTATTTTGATAAATTGGTCTTATCGAATATCCTGCCTCGAAAAGTACTTCCCTTGTCCCATAGTCTTCTCTTAGGACGGGTAGCACAAGCTTCGTTTTCAAATTTATTCACCGCTGGCGAATAACGAACTTCTTGCTCGTATAATATCATGGGTTTATCGAAATAATGTTTCCTCGCGTAAAATCGTTATTCACGAATAAATTCCGTGGCTTCTGTACGTTGTCGGAAATAAAATTTGCCCAATAGGGTACGTGGGTATGTTTAACGAGCTCTCGTGAAAACGGGGTCTACCTTTCACATTCAATTAGTACACTGTCGAACCCGATCGGTAATTACAGCTTCCACGATCGTGTGTTTACGTTCGCTAGGCGCGGCTTGCTTAATTTTCTCCCCCTTTGTTCTCCCACCCCGTTCATCGTTCTTTTGCAGCTAGCCAACCTTCGAGAGAGAATTTATGACGTCGTCGATCGAGGCCGTGTGGCTTTCGTGCAACGATCCGGTAACCGACACGACAGTGCATAGTCCCCCGAAGTGTTCTCAGGGAGGTCGACGACACGTAACAACGGGAGGAAATAATTAACTCGAGGCACATTATCATACGGAGAACACCGACGGCGTTTAACCTGTCCGAAAAACGTTCTATCCTCGATTGAAACGATACGCACAAGCGAGCTGTGTTTCTCTCCTCGGGGCGCACGCAAGTGCCCCAACGAAATTCGATACCCTTTTGTTTTGGGTTGTGTCGAACGCCCTGATCCATCCTCGGTTCAAACGTAAACGTAAACAACTAGTTTTCCGTTGTGGATATTTACTGGAATTCTTTCCATTTCCACATTTTTAAAAGGATAATAATGATAACAAATTAACGTCCAATGACACATGAGTAGCTCAAATAGATTACTTCGCAAACGTGAAATTAAGGTTAAAACCTAGGTTCGATATTATAAACTACTACGAGCTTGTAAATTTTCTTTTTATGATTTTGGAATGTTTTAGCGAACTGTTCTTGATAATAAGGAAATGCGTCTTCAGAGAACTATAAAATTCATGCTCCAGCATTAGAAAGTGTTTTGACAGCCGGATCGTGTTTCACAATGCGCGTCGAGAGGGCAGCCGTGTCTCTCTCGAAACTGCTCTAGTGATCCTTCGAAACCGACCGTAGAGTTTCACATTCTCTGGTTAAATACGGTTTTTGACGACTATATCTGGTGAATCATTTGACGACCACGGCGGACGGGCACGAAATTCCGGGGAAACCTGCCCTACCATGATGCTGTGCGTTTCGTGACTCAGACAGGACTGTCCACGGTGTATTATACGCATACCTGCGGACCGTTGGAGAAGTTTCTGAAAGGGGATTCGATCTGGGTCAACGTAAATCAAATTTCGAAGAAGTTTTAGTCCGCGACGCCATTACTCGCCGATATGAGAAACGCTCGAGAAATTCGTTTAGAAATACTCCCGCATTTATCACGCGGACTGATAGGATTCTTGCGATCCGATCGATCGAGAATTACGGAATCGCTCGAGGCACGCGTCAGGTTGGTTTCCCGGAAACGTGTCTAGTATTACGATGACGCGTGGAATTAACGTTGTCGGATTTCAGCTTCAATTGCGGCGGTATTCTCATTGGTGACGTGGGGGAAAAAGCTATTTGTAGGAACTTTTTTGGTGATCAAAATGTAAGTGGAAAACTACGTCGAGTTATCGTTGCAAACTGAAAACTTTTGAATGCCATGGTTCTTCGTGGCTTTAGTTAAATTTCCAATTATGAAATTGAAAATTTCATGAAAATTTGTATTTTACTCGAAACATCCTTGTAAAATGGTAAATATAAAAAATTAATTGTTTAACAGTTTACTACAAATAAAGATGGAGTTATAGAAATTTTTGTGACATAACCTACCTTTCACATTATTTTAATAAGGTGGACGTGTGTCAATACTCCGTTTACTCGTTACTTATAGTATTACACATTACTTTTCCTCTGACTCGAGTTACTAAACGCATTGCACCCCCGGTCAGAAATATATGCACATGTACACCAAGCATGAATTCATACCGTAAGTGTAAGTGGTTTTATCGTACGCGACGTGATAACTTGACCGCGTTAATATACACGTATATACATCGTACACATCACCAGCTATGAATGCTGATTGTGTATATACCAGCAGCAGGATTGTGTCGGCTGGTCGACGCAGAACGTGGATTGCGTGGTAGAAAAAAGGGGTCTTTTTCTGTGGAACATTTAACGAGTCTTTCGCGTCACGACATTACTGTCGCAATCGTCGGAAGTGTTAACCAAAACAAATACCTACGCCTTCGAGATCGATAACTCCGAGTAAAAAAAGAAAAACATTACTGCTGACGCAAGACTGGTTTTAAAAATATAATTCGAAATTGGAAATTAATTTAAATCCTAGCTATAAATTTCAGAAATTAAGATTTAAATAAAAATTGTGTGGATATTTTGATATCGATCAAAGTGTGCGTGTGTATCTGCATTAAATAGATAAGAAGCTTTATTCGAAAGCGTGCACGTGAGCGTTCACCCTCTACCGACCGGCGCGATAAAGCAATTCGAAAGAAACGATGTGGAAGATGGAAATCTCTGGACGTATCACTACACTGCGGGTATATATATATAGAGAGAGAAAGGAAGGGTTGATGGATTCAGAGCGGAAGAATCATCGCATACCATCGGACGCCTGTCGTGTTAATCGCGTTTTCTTTGAAAAATTATTAATGACATTTACGCGTGTAACGCGCGTGCTGGTTTGGCATTAAGTGTCCCCCTTATGTATATACAACGAAGATAACGCGTGGCAAGTGACCACCAGATGTCGCAATGCAAATTAAACGGTTCAAGGAACAAATTGGTTGTCACACTTCGTTAATTGGATAAACGAAAATTACCTTGATTTCTCATATTTCCCTTTCAAAGTATTTTTTTTTAATGATAGTTTTCTTAGTCTAACTTTTTAAAGCGAGATGAGTTACTAGAAAATAGTTTAAAAACATTGCTCAAGAATTTAACCGTTTGTCCGGTTGACTTCGTGCAGAAAAATATGCGTGTTCCAAAAGGGCACGTGAGAGCAAGATTACACGGAGTGTCGATCGATGGGGGACATCGAACAACGAACGGTTTAAAAGCCACCACGAACTTGACATCGGCCTCACGCAAGCTCTGGCTTATCCTCTGGAACAATCGGTCAATGCTACTCCGCCCTGACTGACTAGCTTTCCTCAAAAACCTGATCACAATACGAAATGCCTTCGTCTGTTCGTTCATAGCGGTTGAACATTACCACTTATATACTTTCGAATTTTCAAACAGACAACTAATATTTACCAAAATAAATCCTTCGAACTGTATACAGCACTACATTTCTTAGAAAATGAAGTATTAATACGACGCTATTACGTACATGATTGTATAAATGTAGAGTTCAGAATATATACAGACGTTTTTTCCTATGATTGCGTTGTAAAGGGCGAGATTCAGAAATTACGATAGTGTACAGACTTACGCTTCTCATAAGAAGAAAATTTTATTAATAATATTAAAGTGTTAATATCAAAGGGCAGACAAAATAAAATTCAGTGCACATATATAATATAAAGTGATGTAATGGGCGAGATTCGGCAGATAGTGCGCTGCTGAACGATATAAGGTGGTTAAGAAAAATATCGCTATCATTATTTCGTACGAATCTCACCGAATGTACCGTAAACCAAGGATATAATACCAATAATCGAAAGGCAATGCACTCGCCCCTGTCGGTCCCACTATTATTCCCACTATTATATGTCCAGTTGCACCACCCAACGTACACCATAGGTACACACCGTGGTTATTACGCGCACGTACCCTTCCCGTGTTTTTTTCTCCACTCTGGTGTAAGGCAACAATAATTCTCTGCGCGTATTATCGTCTTTCATCAGGATAGGGAGAAATCGCGAAATACAGTGTACGCGAGCCCGAACATCGGGGGCCTCGAAAACGGTTAGAAACTTACCCTGCGTGAAGTGCTTAGCAACCATGATGTGCGTGGCTCGGGGCTCAGAACATTATTCTCCACCCCCTCGAACTCGAGGCTGCTGCTGCAGGGTAACGATATATCCGGGCAGGAGGAAAACCTTCACTGTTCACGCGCGTGATTACGAGCGTCAACAAACTGTATTCTCCGTTAAAATCACATGTTCGCGGACTGTCCACCGTTTCTACACGTACCGGGGTGTACATGCAATGAGTGTACTGTGTGCGATACGAGAGGACGCGGGCTAAACGACACAACGGACAACGCACATGCTCGACAGTTGCCACCCGACTGATGCCCCGCTCCGCTTCAGTCTCGCTTTTCAAACGAACTAACCCTGGACTCGCTGCGCCACCATGTTGCCTGGCTGCCTCCCACTCCCCGCCTTTGCGTTCTACTTTACCGACCGAACCGATGCCTCGGTCTACATTACCGACGCACCGTTCGCGAAAGTGTTACGCGGAGTAGCGGTGTGTCAGCACTCGCTAAATCTTTCAGATAACGGTCGTAATGTTTTCGACGAGAAACTAAAAATGGGAAACGCTGTGCAAAAATCAGGACATTACAGACTGGATTTTGTAACGTGATTGGGTTAGATGCATAAACGGATTAGATTTATTTGTGAAGATCTGAAAGTAGATTTGTGGTATCAGCCGTTGATTGGTGTAAATTCTAAAGAACGGAAAAGTATTTTCCAATAAAATTCACATACATATCTTTCATAAATCTCACATGTAATGGACGCAACGAACTCTTTTATTTCGGAATTGCATTATTACAGTATGTAGACGTACGTTTTTGGCGTAGTCGCAAGTACACGATGCCAGCATCGAAAAGGTTAGACGTACAAATACGAATGTGCGGATTCTGAATATGAACTTTGCCCTCCGACCGCGATAATTGTTTTTACGCACGTTCAATAGAGCGTATGGGGTAACAATGACGTTTTTATGTAGTGCCGTTATCGATTTATCCATGTGTTTTTCGTCTCTTGTCAACGGAATCGTGCGGATGAATAATAATGATACGAGAACGCGAGAACGGTAAGTGACGATCGGGCGACCGTATTTGGTCCTACGGGAAGTCACTCTACCTAAACAGAATGAAAAGTTCAATACGTTTTTCTGTAGCAGTGGTTTCGTGCTACCAGGCGCTAGGTTACGTCAGAGTCCAATCGACTATGAATCATTATGCATCCAGCATATCGTATAGCTTGACTTTTCAAGGCTCTCAGTTTTATGATTACCCGCGCTCCTCGATATCAAGTGCCGGTTTTATAATCATCGCCAGCAGAATTCGATTAATAGCTTGTTATCAGGTCAAACTAGATCATACAATAATCAGTAATCTATAATTAAATGTTCTAAAAATTAAAGTTGTTTTACGTAACACACTTTACGACTTGTTCTGGCTACAATTAGAATTTATTTTCAGAAACTCGCGGGATCTCTTTCATTAAAGTCCGTTGGGATGTATTTGTTTACGGCGCGTTTAGCGAAAAGCATCAATGGTCACACACGTAAATAAACATCAGGGGGAGCAACAGGCTACACACGTAGGCCCACGCCGAGAGAGTTGTCTGACCCGTTTCTGGCAGGTAGATAAATCGCGTCAGGTCGCGCTACAGACGAGACGAATATACGCGTGATAAAGACCACGCTTCGTCCTTTAACGAGATTGTGCCAAAAACTTTTGAAAGGTCCGTTGACCTGCGTGATGGTGTGGTGCGTCAGCGCTGGCGACGAGTTTAGCGCCGTCTATGACATTATTTTCTATTTACGAAGCACGGTGGCGCGGGCAGGTGGCCACGATCCTACCTCCCTTGTCCTGGATCCGTGCCCGCGGATAATGTGTAATCTCCAGGTGGATAACAAAACGACACGAATTCTTCGTACGACCGCCGTTACGCGCTAGAGAAACCGCAAAGCGTTTGATTTAGCTCTGTCGGTTTTGCTGCGTGGGTGGCTCTCGCCTTCTCCGTTCACTCTCCTCCACTGCTTTACCACCAACCGATCCTTGCGATGACGTCATATTCCCGTAGAAGGGGAATATAAAACCTGTTCGACCGTCCCTTTCTTTTTTCTCGCAGTTTCCACGCCCGATTCCCACTATCCGCCGCCGTCTATTCCGTCTCCCTTTCTCCCGCTGGCTTCTTTCTACTCGCTAGCTGCGTTTTTTCTTCTCCCGTTCGCGTGCGCATATCCTATTTATTTATTTACTTTTACTGGTTAGCTTTATACATTTAGACGAAGTCGACAAATTTTAATTGGTAACTCCATAAATGTATATAATTCTGCGTCGACATTGTAAAGCAAGTTGTATTTGTTATGTTAAATTGATTCATTGAAAAATTATGTACTTTACAATTTTGATTTGTATTTGTCATCTTCTAAAATTGTTCAATTTAATAACCACTAAAACTGTATTACGAAAGTTCATAAATACCCCGTTTACGATGTATTGTTAGTGTTTCTAATTTGTTAAAGGCGGTCGGCGTTCGCTGCGCCGTCACGAACAACGAGCAAATGTGCTGATCGCTTGAAATTAGGGATCCGCGCGCGTACGCGCATGCGCGGAACACGCAATTTTTTGTCTCGAACAGCGGCTTGCCAGCAGTCGTCCGTCTGTCGAGAACGTGTTAAGGACGATGTTTGCCGTCGTGCGTGAGTCACGACGACGTTTCGTAGCACGGCGTGGCCCGTCGACGATGTGTTGCTTGCGTAGCGTCGCGACGAACTTCGTTTTCGCGTAACGCGAACCGAAAAAAAAGAAGAACGGGACGAGAAATCAGTGAGAAGGATACACGGTGTACCGTGGCCCTGATCAGTCCATGCGCTACTCGTAGCCATGGCTTCAGTGAAGGTAGCCGTGAGGGTTCGTCCCTTTAACAAAAGGTGCGTGTGGTGGTGGTGGTAATGCGGCCAGTGATAACGATAAGTCGACGGGTTTCGCAATACGAATAGCTCGATCGAGTACGAAGTTCGTTCTCCCAGCCGTGTGAACGACTTTGTCGATTGGTCGAGCAATTTCGTCTAGGTCCGATACGAAAATTCCCCTATGACAATGTCCCCCGTGATGTTTTCATTTAAAATAGGTGAATACTTTCGGTCGCGATACCTGCACCCCGTTGAGCTAAACTAGAATTTGCTGGGACGATCAATCATATGCTCTCCATCGACCCCAGTGCGACTTGTGACGATATTCTGCCACCTGCTGTCGTCCCCGTATTACACATTAACCCTCCGTGTACACATATATGCCTTTTGTATCGAGCCTTCGATTATGTTGGTCTTTCACCTCATGCTTTTCGATGGCTACACCCATTGCTACAAAGAAAACCTTCGAAGTGCTTGAAGTTACGTGCGTGAACCTATTCCGATCTGTATTGCAGGGAACTGGCGATGAACGCGAAGATGATCGTGCAAATGGATGGCAAGAAAACACGTATTTTCAACACCAAGGTACCGTAGCATTCAAAAGCGATCGTTCTCGATGTTACACACAACCCTGGCTTATTAAGGTTAAACGCTTCATCTTTGTAACGTTGTATACATGGCGCACTGTCCGCGACGAAACGACTCCTGCCACAATCCCCCGAGCTTTGTCCTTAATGATCACGAATGGACGGACTTTCTAAAAAGATTTCTACCACGGTGGAACAAATTCTATTTTTCTTTTCTTCTGTTTCGAGAATGCCCCCCGAACTATATACCGTCGTTGACCGCCACGCTCTGCCTTTAACGCTTCTCTTTCTTTCTCTCTCTCTCGTGGCTCGAAACCGTGTCATAATTTCTGACCGAGCCGAACCCGGCTATTGACCCATTAACGTTATCCGTACCGTGACGTCGTTGGCCACGAACTGCCAGTGGATCTTCATTCCAGCTGAGATTATTTGTTGTTTCCCCGTTACGTCATTGATATCCACGCTTCTCAAGCGAAATCTCTGACCGAGATCTCACGGGTGAGATAGCGCGAACGGTACGTCATCTGATCGGAGAAAGTGCGAAAATCGTTGCTGGACCAATCCCGGACAAGTTGCTTTCCGTTGCGCCGCGTCGACCAATGGTACCTCCCGGCCCAGTGCAGTGCACATTTTATACAAAACGGAAATATGAAAATACCGTTACGGATCCCAAACATCACGATCCGTCGAATTCAAACGAAAAGTTTCATTTTTCGAATTTCTTCAATCGAATTCGAACCACCATAACTCTTGGATAGAAATTCTCGTCTATATGGTTTTCCGCGAATCTGACTCACCTTTCCCTTCTTCACGAATGACTCAGCGATATAAATAAGAAATCGTGTTTGTTTTATGCGATTTCTTATGATTTGTTTCGAAATCATACCACAGAAATTCGTGATTAACAGAATCGTTCGTGTTGCCGTTCCCTTATCAACGTCCACCGTGTATAATTACCATTACAGCTAATTTTCCGTTTTATCGGTAACGTGGTAAAACAGGTTTGTGGACGTTACAACGTAACTTCTCGAACTGTCCGATGGATCATTTGCATATGTTGTTGTGAACCATTCATGAAAATGTCTATACTTCTGCCGTGAACGTTTTCTTTCTCGTTTAACAAAGCAGTACGATAATTCTTTCCAGGTTGATATACATATAAAGAAAGCAAGCGAGATTGGTTGGGCAAAGAGTACAGTAACAGCGACGCAGCTAGCGATTTCGTGTAATTTATGTATCGTGACTCTCTGTCGACGCGTCCATAACCTTCCATTGAGAACCTCGAATTTTCTTATACTGCATCGAGCACGCTGAACGCTATTCTCGAACGATAATGATCCTCACCTTAGCTTCTCGTGCTTATTGCGGATTGCATGATCAGGGAACATAAGGAGTTTTACTTTTTAATTGCCTGCCTCTCGGTTTGTTGCGTAATACGCGGGACCGGCTTTCGATAGTGCGCCGATTAGTTATGTGGGATGCAGCCTAACGAATGCACGTGACATAAAGGCCTAACAGTTCGCCAGCCACTTGCGAGTGATGCGCTTCCTTCACCGTCAGTCATTTGTACCGGCTACTGACCTGTATCAATTCCATCAAGATCTAATATTCCAATTCCTAATATTAATACTATGCTACGTACACACAGGATGGGAACAAATTTATGGTGTTGCTGGGTCTGGGAAGAAATTTTCTAAATAAGGCTTCGTTTTCATGAAAAATTACTAGATATTTGTTAATTGTTTATGTCCTGTTAAACGGTCAGTTGTTTATCCAGCAGCTTTGATTTACTTTTCCACGAAGAATCACCCTCTGTTTGGTTATACCACGAATTTGTCCTCATCCTATACAATTGGGACATAGGGGAAAAGAATCTATCGATGGTGTGGATGGCTTAGTTGGTAGGACGGTGTGTGTATACATATTGTAACCTCGAATGACACACGAGTTCAATTTCCCGGTCAAACGATCCGCATACCATTGATGTAGAATGAGGATGAATCGATGAGATTTTTTTCCCTAGATTGGAACAGTTACTAAATAGTTATTTATATTATTGTTCGACATATAGAGTGTTGTTGAACTTCAAAATATGCGATGATTCCTATCAGGTTTGCCTTTGTTGTTTTACAGACACCGGGTAGCTGCAGAGAAATCGACAGAGAAAAATACAAAGATTTCACGTTCGATCATTCCTATTCGTCCTTCGACACGAATGACGAGAACTATGCGTCCCAGGAAGAGGTACGTGTGTGTGTGTCCATATACAATTCCTACTATTTTTTTTCTATAATAATGTTATTGAAAATATCGATACCTTTAAAATATGCAAGTATATTCTCGTGATCTATGAATCGATCGATATGTAAGATCGCATTCGGGGGTAACGGTTTTTGACGATGAGCCACAATCAGAATTAAAATAGAAGACCGGCATGCTCGCGCCGGTATAAAGTAACCATTGTCGTAAGAACAGATTTTAATCGAACGATTCTCCAGTATCTTCGAGATCGGTGTATCGTGAAGATAAGCGCCGGCTTTATCACGTGAATAAATATTTCAAGTATACATACTCGAAAAACAAACCGTACGACAAAACCACTTCAGGTTTATATCGCGTAATTAAAATGTGCGTAATTAAACTATCGCATCGATTAATACGCACAAACAGCGGTTTTATTTTTATCAACCGCGGCACTTCATTTTTACTGTCAACAGTGGGAACACAATCGCTTTTTAATTATCGAGGGGGTCTGATATGTTTGGCGACTCTCGTTGGAAGTTTTCCTGAACGTTCAACCATCGATTGAATAATTCTTGCCGTTCGGTCTGTAAGCTGGCCTAGCTGCGAGCGGCAAGAATCATCCAAGTATGGTGTAATCTCTATTAACAGTAGAACTACCAAGTAGTCACATAAATTAAAAAGTTACAATGTATTTTCTCAGATCTTTCGCAACTTTTATTGAAATATGAAAGTGAAGAAATTAGTTTATAAAGTTGAATATTTTCAAAAGTTTGTCATGTGTATCGATACGATGAAAATGGATATATACGTTTAACGTTGGTAGTTCTAGCGTTAGAACTGTTTCGTCCATTGGCTCATTAGTAGACTGCGGATTATATGCATTAAAGAATATCTTCACATCTGTATGTATTTGCAAATCACTTCGAAAAATGTTATTTTACATAAATAGGTACTGTAAAAAGCAAAATGGTTGATCATTATGTTTTTGTTGGTGTCTTTTAGGTATTCTACGATCTTGGTACGGACGTGATAGAAAGTGCCTTTGAGGGCTACAATGCCTGCGTCTTTGCATACGGCCAGACAGGGTCTGGGAAGACCTTCACGATGATGGGCACACCGGTAATAACCGATTTTACCGTCGACCATTTCCAAAAAGTGTGGTATGCGTTTACCGAGCTCGAAATAATTAGAAGGTCACCTGCTGAAATTAGTTCTCGGCGGTTCAATGCCTCGAGAGTGGTCCCGATCATTATGTCTCTTTAACACGGCGTGACAATTCTAATGTATGTACATATATACTATTAAGACTATCTATCGAATGGTCTGTACAAAGAAGAAAGAAAATATCTGAATACAAACATAGAAACACGATTATCTGATTATCTCGAGCATTTCACACCCCCTATTCATAGCCGTTGTCCATGTCACACAAATTACAACCTATAAAACCACCCTAAAATGTTGAGTTCTTGTATATTGCGGTTAAACTAAAAACGAACTAAGCATGCCATGTCTGAAGTCGCGTTAAGAAATAATGTTTCTCTAAGGAAAAGTGGTTCGTTTTTATTTTAACCGCAATATGTACAGATTGAAAATTTTAGGGTGGTTTGATACTTATGCCACGCAGTGTATACTCTTTTTTTTTATACATGTTTTCCGATCCGCTCGAAAATAGAACCGTGTTCAAGGTCCGTTAGCATTTGATTATCATATGTATCACGCTTGGACGCCCATCAAAATGATTGATCGCGTCTGCTTATTGCACGGCGAGCAAACGGGCCACGGCGATTTATTATAACAATTGTGAAACACAGACACACACACGGGGCCCAGGACTTTCACTCAAGACTGGGCGATTTCTACGAGTTTTCCACGTTGGGAAATGACTGCGCCGTTTTAAATTTCGTTCGAATCCGTTACATATATATATATATTATTTTCTTTCTTTTTTCTTGGATCGCATGTGTCCGTAGGAGGCTCAGGGATTGATACCGCGGATCTGCAAGACGTTGTTCGCCAGAATGGCCGCCGGTAAGGAGAGCGGTGCATCGTACAGAACGGAGGTGTCCTTCCTGGAGATACACAACGAGAGAGTGAAAGACTTGCTGAGGCTGGATCAGTCGCAGTCCCATTCTCTCAGGGTGCGGGAGCATCCTAAAAGGGGGCCTTACGTCCAAGACTTGTCGAACCACCTCGTGTACGATTATTCAGACATTCAGGTAAAACCGCCCACCCACGCATCTCCGTCGTGAGGTAACACGCACAGAACCACCGCCAGCACAAACATGAACGACGTGAGCAGCAGGAGTCACGCGATTTTTACGATAACATTCGTCCAAGCCGGACTGTCCGAGGGCAACATGCCGTCGGAGACCGTTTCGAAGGTGCATCTTGTCGACTTGGCCGGAAGGTAGCAGAGACGCACGCATATATATATGTATCAAGAGACAGTCCTTGTGGTTTAATTAGGATCATTTACTTTGGTTTAGAGCACTTTTGATAATACGTGTACAGTCGAGCAGCTGGATATCAGTTACAAAAACACGATATACAGTGGACTTTTGATATATTGCCGCTTGACATATTACCATGTGAGGTACTACCCCCTCCACACGTACTTTAACGCATATACGAATTCGCTTTCCCGCCACGTTTTGCACACCATCCCCACCAGCACGATCCAGCTTTTACGCAGACGTTGCAGTAGGGGCTACGACGGTAGAACTACAAAATTTCGTCAAGTTCATGGTTTAAAATAGCTACCCATGACAACACCCTCGGCAATACATCAAGAGTCTAGTTATAATGAAAATTCCGATTTGGGATTAAAGTTAGTTAGCGCGCTACGTTAGGGCTAATGTCTATTGAATATTCCTGTACTATTATGCATCGAATTACATTAAAAAATGTATGCATATCCTTTTTATATGTGGTTTGCAGCGAGCGTGCTAACGCAACGGGAGCGACCGGTCAACGACTGAAAGAAGGTGCCCATATTAATAAGTCATTGGTGACATTAGGTTCTGTGATATCGGCGCTCGCGGAGGTCAGCTCCACGAGCGACGTGTCCTCTTCGTCTAAGCGAAACGTCTTCATACCGTATCGGGACAGTGTGCTCACGTGGTTGCTAAAAGATTCCCTCGGTGGTAATTCCAAGACCATTATGATAGCAGCTATTAGTCCGGCTGATTGTAACTACGGTGAGACGCTGAGTACGCTGAGGTACGCGAATCGAGCGAAGAATATCATCAATAAGCCGACCATCAACGAGGATCCGAACGTGAAACTGATCAGGGAACTTAGGGAGGAAATACAGAAACTGAAGTCCCTTATTGGGAAGGATATGGCAAGTATTAGAAGGCAGATGCATAATATCCACCAGGAATTCTTACTATTGGAAGAGGGAATTTAGGATTTTATATGTATAAGAAGATATTTTTTTTATCATATTCAACTTTTGCAGAGCTTCGAAAGGCCGCCGCAAATGTTACTGGCACAAATCCACGAGAAACAAGAGCAGGAGAAAGTGTTGACAGAAGAGTGGACGGAAAAGTGGAGGGAAACGCAGCAGATACTCCAGGAACAGAAAGCGTTGGGTCTCCGGAAGAGTGGCGTCGGGGTTGTTTTGGATTCGGAAATGCCACACTTGGTAGGGATCGATGACGATCTTCTTAGCACCGGTGTCACGTTGTATCACCTGAAAGAGGGTAGAACGTTAGTTGGAACGGAGGAAGCATCTACCGCGCAGGTAATATCTGTTCTTAAGTCATCCCTTATACCTTACATGTACACTGACGTGCAAACTCGTCTTCCGCTAGGGAAAAATGTGGCGTAAGAAAAGGGCCTTTCAATTAACCATTTGATTTAACATTTATTTCACTACCTGAAATAAATTTTGCCAAGTGGTAGAAGGCCCTTTCCCCACGCCACGGGAAAGTCGAGTTTGCTTGTGGGTGTACAAGGGTGTTTCAGAACAGTCCAAGTATTCCGCGATGATCTTGTGACAAAAAAGTTCAATCGGTTACTTTTTTTTTTTTTTGGAACACCTTGTATATTCAGTTACCCAAGTATGTATACACATACATATTCGAACGTAACACACACGACTCGGTAAACAGGATATCGTATTGACCGGCGTGGACGTCGAGCCGGAACACTGTGTGGTGGAGTTAGATACCGGCGTAGCGACCCTTCATCCCCTTTCTCCCCACTGCTGGATCAACACCGCTCAAGTGGACAAACCGACGCGACTCTCGCAAGGTTGTATTATTCTTCTGGGCAGGAACAATATGTTCCGATATAACGATCCGGCGGAGGCGGCCAAGCTAAGAAAGGAAGGTGGAACGGGTAACGGTAACTTACAGTCGACGGTCGTCAATCTTTCAAGATTGTCCCTCTTGAGCTGGAGCGTCTCGGATTTGCATGCCTCCTCCTCTAGCGATAATCTGTTGAACTCGAGCGAGGATCTACGAGCGCTCGAGGAACTGGAACAGCAGAAGGCTGCCCTTATCAAGGAGAAGGAGGATTTCAAGGTTCGTGAATCGATGAACCAGCATTTGCTGTATCTTATTATTCGTATATACAGGGTGGGCCACGAAACCGTGATCAGATTACATTATTCGACTGCTATAGAAAAGAATGTTTACAAACATAATCAAATTTAGCACGTGGCACAAATTTTGTAATTTTTCTTTAAACTAGAAGATAAAAAATTGGTTATCATGAAAAAAAAAAAAACTGAAGATAACCTTGAAAACTCTGGAAAAAAGAGTGTTGACAAAAAATTGTGGTACAATCATCTTTAAGCTCTCTCTAAAGCTGATCCCGTTTCGTGGTCTACCCTGTATATTATGCACAGAGGGGGGGGGGTAGTTAAGAACTGGGGTACAGTTAGTGTCGTGAAAGGTCGTCGGTAGACATAAAGCTTCAGAAATGTCTCCTTTGATTTGTTTTGAGAATCACCAAAAAATGCGTATTCTTTCGTATCTGCACGCAGAGGGAACAGGAAGAACGAGAAGAGCGATGGACAGCGCGAAGAGAGGCCCTGGAAGGCGCCCAGCGTGAATTGGAACGCGAATGGGGCGCCCAATGGAAAGAGTGGGCGGACGCGATATCCGCCCTCGAGTCACGGCAACGGGAGTTACGGAGCCGACGTCACCATCTGGAGCAAGAACGACGTGACGAAATGACGCAAGTAAGTGACACGGACGCGCCGTCCCCGGACTTGAACGTAATCTCGATCAAGTATCAATTCTACCTCGTCCTTATTGCTCTCGGTGTCCTTATTTGCTTGTCTGGCAACATCATCATCTACTCGCACGTTTGCCCGTTGAACATGTGACCCTTGTACCATCAGGGATCCTCGTGTTCCTCGTGCTATCTAAACACGAATCATGTCGAGTGCTCGATGGACGATGGATGTACACCGAACGGAAACGTTCGTGTTCTATCGTCGACGCTTACGATAATAATAATGACGAATGTCGTTCTAACCTAAAAACACAGTAGAGAATTCATTCAAGACAAACGAAAAGAAAATGAAACAAAAAGACTATAAAAGGGTGCTTTGGAAAAACGGCGTCTATCAGGCTCTTCGCCGGAACTTGTAACATATGTAATGTGTATAACTGTTAAATAGGACAATATTTGTCCGGGAATTATATATATATATATATATGTTTCGTTTCTACACACGGATGATACATATTATATTAATACGGGAGAATTTTTCTTTCCCGTGAAAACGACGCGCCTATTTTACAGAGAGAGACAATATATTATATATATAGTCGCTTAGAGTTTAGTACGCCTGGTGCATGTAGCGGTTTTAGATAGAAAAGAAAAAAAAAGACTAATACCGCCCGCCATCCCAGAAATATGAACTGTGCCAGTGTTGACGAGATATTGCCGGACAAATGGCATTCTATGGAATGTTATTACCAACTAAGTACCTTAAGTAGATGTTAAGGTTATAATTAAAAAGATAAAAAAAAGAGAGAGAGAGCGAGAGAGATGAAAAGTTATTGTGCATATCTGGGCCTGTTTTTTTTTTTTTGTGTAGAAATTGTTCTATATGGGTTTGTTATGCGAGAAAAAGAACGAAAAGAAAACTGTTGTTATACCGATACCTTGTTGATTAATAAAATTTTCTTACGAAAATTGGCCTTCGATCTTCCACGAAACGTTTTTGCACGCACACTCTGTATACATATTTCTGTTTTTTCTCACGTAATATAATACTCGTTAAGTAACACAAACATACACACATAACCGTGATGGTCGGATTAACGGATCCCGATTAACAAACCCAATTGTATCTTTGTTAACAAAATACGATGGGGCACGTCCGCGCGTGCACTGTGTCTCGACCGCTAACGTGTGGGGGATTAGAGAAACTAACTAACCGATCTCTCAAGGTAACGTATCGCGATAACATCGATCTGTTTCATGTTTTTTTTTTCTTCTCTATATATATATATATATTTTCTTCCGTAATCCTCGTTTATATATTTTTATTAATCGATCGTTTCGTTGGGAATAAGTTGTGAATAATCCGATAAATCTTGGTTTATGTCGCATAGATTCTAGTACCGTTTGATATATAGCAAAAAAAAAGCATGCTTTATCATTTGTATCCCATGAGATTTGATTTTCGTATGGTAAAATTTACCTATGATTCATCATTTCTGCAGACCTGAGCAGATTGAAATTACTCCAAAGCAATTCATTCGGTTCCAAGAAATTTAGTACACATTTATACAATATTTTTTTCTTACTTAATTTTACAACAAATTATATTTAAATTATAACGATAAGAAACGGTCACGAAAAAAAAAGTAATCAGTTGTATCACGAAATAAATTGACTGTGTGGTTGTATTGCTTTTCTTTTTTTTTCATTTTGTACTTCCAACATAATTTTTTGCCCAGGTCGAATATTTTGTCAGCTATCTCATGCACAACACACCGTTAGCTAGTCCGCCGCGTCACGTGTTTTCCTCGGTTCGTTCGCTCGAATAGTTATGCGATCGCATCTTATACGATACTTTCTTTCAGTTTACCCTTTTTTTTGTTAATGCATCGATTATGTATGTGTGGTACCAGGTAGAAAGTTTATGTAGGGAAGTCGCCTCTCTGCGCACAGCGTTGCAGTCCAAGGATCGTCAGTTCCAAGAGTTCATGAGCAATCACGAACCCGCACAAAGATTCCAACAGTGGTGGGAGAAGGTAAGAGATTTAGAGAAAGGAATACAATTTCGAAATACATTTTTTCGCGGGCATGCCGTAGTCTCTAGGGGAGCACGAACCGTATATACATATATATATATATAATCGCACGCAGCAAACACCTGCATCGTGACCATTTTCTTTTTTTTTTACTTCTGTTTATTCGTTTAATTTTGTCCCTCCTCGTTTTTCGATTATGCTGGGGGGATGTGTGTTATATTGGTAATGGGCAATAGTCACACGGTCCCTGGGCTCAGAAAGAAAAAACTGGTTCCATTTCAGACGGACGACGGTGCTGGCAGTGACGGCAGCTTGCCAGAATCTTGGTCGAGTCTGAATGACGATAAATGCGTCGACGCGATGCGAGAGCTTGTTAATCATCATGTGAGTAAATTTACCATCACGCACAGTCGCTAATTATAATTCTCTGGCAAACTAGAAAGTGTTTGCGTTACCGGTCGCTCCGAAACAATTCGTTACAGAGCGCGCACAGTCGATGGGTTTAATAGGTTGGGACGATTCACAGATAACGAGGAATAAACTAGTACACGTTTGGAATTTCAGAAGAAAGAATTGGCCGCCTTGGAGACCGAGCTGCAGAACAAAGTCAGGTCGTTGAGCGAACATCAAAGCAAAGTGGATAAGATGGAGGAGGAGCTGATGGAGATAGCCAGGAAACAGAAACACATGTTCAACTTGGAAGTAAATGAGCCACTCACTTTCGATCACTGATATGATCACGTCGAATCGATGGTAGAAATACGGTGAATATTTTGTAACCCCTTAAAATATTCACGGTTATTGAGCACTCGGAATACCCCCATTGTGATGGATTAGATAAACATAGATAATTTTACCTTCATACTTTTCCAAAACTCTTAGTTTTCCCCTCCTATAATATACCAACTGCTGTTTTATACAAGACCATACAAAATTGTGAAAGGAAATTTAGAAGGTTAAATGCTTAGGAGGTTTTAGAGGGTTAAATGCGGGAGAGATTGAAACTGTACACATATATCCTTTCTACCATCGATTATACTCACTCGAGAATAGTATTGACATTTACTATTAAATAATGTGTATCCTTGCCAGTTGGAGGGCGAAGGAAACACCGAGAAGAAATTACTTCTCGCGAAACGGTCGCAGGAGCAGCTCCAGGAGATTCTGAAGCGCAAACAGAGCCTGTCGTTGAACCTGAAACGTGCGTTGCCCGCCTCCCCGGACGATCGTTCCTCGAGCGGCGACGAGACCCATGCGAACAGCTCGTTTCCGAATGTATCCAATAAAAAGCTTCAGATAGCGTCCGCTTTGAGTCTGGTGCCGCAGACCGTTCCAAGTTCCATCGAGACCGCGGACACGTTTCACACAGCCGCGGCCGATTCGCCGGAGCCTCGTATTCCCTTCGAAGATCTGGACGCCAAGGAGTCGCAGGCATTGCTGGACCACCAACAGAAGGAGTCAGACAGGAAGCAGGAAGCTGCTCCCGAGGGTGTTCGCGTGGAGAACGACAGAGGGACATTCTTTGCGTTAGATGGTAAAAGTTTGAACGTGAACAGGAAGTCTTCCGGCGGTGAAAGTATCACGGAACCGGAAAAATGCAACGGTAGTAATAACACGAACGGCGAGAAAGCGGACTCAAAGTCACCCACGAACTCGACGATGGACGACGAGATCCCCGAGGACTCGCTGGACTCGCCCGTGCACCAGAACCCGGCGATGAAACGACTGAACCAAAGAATCGCCCGTCAACGAATGATGGTGATGAGATGCCTGGAGGCGAACACACCCTCGAAGGACGATCTGAACCGGCAGATAGCTATCCTACAAGACCTTCAGAAGCAGCAGATCGAGCTAGAGGTGTCGCTTACTGAGGACGAACGGAAGGGGCATGCGCCGAGCAATTCGCAATACGACGGCGATGATAGACTAGCGAGCGGCGACGCGAATGATCGTGTGCAGACTACTATTGTGGAGACGAAAACTTGTCGCGAGTCGGAATCCACGAACAACTCGGCTACTTTGTTGACCGTGTCCACAACGCGATCACCTGTCCTTAGGAACAACAGGCCTAATAACGAGGAGCAGTACCTGTCCGAGTCGGTTGCACCTAGAATAGCATCCGGTAGAGGATACTCGACTGTTTACTTGACGGTAATTGCCAGTAACACGTCTTGAAATGTCCCCATGTAGACAAGCATTTCTGTTTCCTGATTATGGTTAACTTCTGTCATTTGTATTGTTCGTTTAGAGTCAGAACCGAGGCGATCGACTGAGTAGTCCGTACTCCCTGACGATCACGAGGTCTCTGCCGTCGTTGATAGCGAACGACGTTGACTGCGACAATGTGATCAACATGATCGTCAGTGTACCATCTTACGTGATACGCGGAGCCGGCACGTCCAGTCATTACGAGTACGAGGTACGCGTTGTCGCCCAAGACGACAGCTGGACACTTCTGCGTCGTTATAGAAGATTTCGTGAATTGTATACTTCAATGAGACAGAAGTATGGTAGCAAGGTAAATCGTGTTTTCACGTATTCATCGCCCTTGAAGCTGTGAAAAATAGATTTTGTAAGTGTTTGTTTTTTCGTCAACTGTCGTACAGGTAGCAGCAATACGCTTTCCACCCCGACAAGTTTTCCCAAGATACGAGGTCGTGGCGCGGCAACGTAGGAAACGATTAGAAGAGTATCTGCGACGATTGATACTGGTCTGCTCGGAATTGTCGCACTGTGAACCTCTCTACAAGTACAACGGCAACTTAAGCAACATAGATAAGCAATCATTGCTGGAATTCAGTTCGTTCTTCAGACGGGGGACATTCGAGAGCAGCAAGTATGGTACAAGCTAAAGAGACGCGATTTTTCCCCCTCGAGGTCCGACGAAACACGATCGGGACTCGAAGCCAGCGGGCATATTATACGTATATATAGGAGATGTTTAGAATTCGTTGTATTTTTTTATATAAAGACGAATTGAAGGGGGGGGGGGAGGATAACGCTAAAGTGGAAAAAATATTAGTGAAGTACAGTTACCACTTTGCGCGATGATTATCCATTGTATATGTACCAAAATATGTTTCCAAAAGTTTATTGTTTATAAGACTGATGATGTGTATCGCATATTTAAACTATTCGTTTGTTCTTAGCGTTAGCGAGGGGAAAAGAACAAAATTTATGTTTAAGGGGAACACACAAGATCTGGCTAGTCTCGAGAATATTTTTTTTTGTTCGATGTAATCTATTCCGTGGGCCGAAAGTGCATTCCAGATCTTCGATACCTCGACAAAATTTCGTGGATGTACGGCCAATTGTTAACAGGTTGCAGATATTTTCCTAATGTTTTTCTCCCTTGTTAGGACGAAACCAGTTACAAAGTGTATCTTTCCCGTTTCGGTGGTTTTCACGAACCGTTGGTTTCGATCTGTTTGAAACTCGCGCGCGCCTCTATCGCTGACGATAAGTAGCTAGCCCAGTATTGTTAATACAAAGTACACGCACGAGAGATAACGCATCATTTGTTGTACGCACGAGATAACGCATAATTTGTTGTGCGCACAAGCACGATGACCATACTATATTTCTATAATCGGGCGTGATATCAGTGCTCGTGATAATAATTAGATTTTTCAGAAATGATCGCGTTTATTTTTTCGTCGGACAGCGTCTATGTATACATTTGCGTGTTCGCGGCGAAGTTTGTAAAAAGGATGACAAAAAAAAATGGATCACATTGAACAGCGATGATAAAGTTGACATTATGCAATATGCTGGTACTGAAACGAATGAAGTCTTGTTAATCGATACTATATCGATCATTCTTGGCAAAATGTTTAACCGCCACATTGTAAAGGCTGCTTCGCGAAAAGAATAAGGCATATGATGTTAACCTTAAATAAAAAAAAAAAAAAAAAAAAAAAAAAAATGTAAAATCCTATACGCTTCTCAAACTCAAGATTTCTATACTCGATTTAAAGAATTGTGTTTCTCCATTTTGCCTTAAATTCTAAACGATCGAACGTATTATTGGAACTCGTGTATATCGGACTATTATTGCTTGCTGTTTAATATTACTATTGAAACGCGAACGAAATTTATAGCAATACGCATCGTGTCATTGAAGAGAGGAATTCCCAACGTGTGATTATGGGGTGAACGATATTTATTCTATGGCTGTGTATAAACGGACTTCGAACCCCCAAGGAATTATCCTAATGGATGGCTAGTGGTACTAGTAGCTCGTAGCCGCGAGGTCTGTACATTTTAGCGAATTGTTTAGGCGAACATTGTACCTCATGTTTCATACGGTTTCCGAAGGGATGATCATAAACTGCTTTTTTTTATACTTGATCTATGCGATCTATGTTCTCTAAATGTAACGAGAAAGTTCAATAAATTGTCATAGCTCGATTAACCTGATTATTTTCAGTGGGTACTACTTGGTAACCCTCTGTCGTAAAATAAATCGTGAAAGATAAGAGTTACTTGAAAAGAATAAAAAATACGATTCGGAGTAAAATGAACTTTTATGTGTGAAAAACTAAAAATTATCCAGGAGAGCCAAAGTTACTCTATCTATCAGATAAATACAATTCTCATTTATTATTTCTCTCATCCGTCGTACAAATGTAAACTTTTTTTAGTCTTGAGCATTTTTGTGACACTGGATTCCTATCCGACGCTATTATCCTTCAATAACTAACTCGGTCGTTAAAAATACTAGATCATCCAGCTTATACAACGCACGGAATATTCTGATTTGTACCATATCGCGGGATGAATACACATTCGGGATACATGTCTGAAAAGCATACGTGTGTACTAACGAAGAATTGAAACGGAATATAACAGCTAAAGATGATATGTGTACAGGCACTATACTTCCTAATAATTTATACTAAGTAGGATTTTTATAATTATCATACGTACAGTTAAATGAACACTTGTTTGCTTGCTAAGCTATCCGCAAACGGTGCGACGATTACCCTGGTGGCGAAGTAAAACGTTAAACCAAAAGTAATGGAAATCGGTAGCGCGGGCAGCGCCTTCTTGAATATAGCCAACAAAAGGAGCGTTAAACAGAGTCCCTGAAAGTGTGAAATGTTAATAATACAACAGGAATTTCTGTAATCCTTAACGTATCACTTGTCCCCATGTGACTGTAAAGGCACGTTGAACAATAAATACGTACGATAAGAATAGCTACGAAACAAGCCAAAGTAGTATTCCAATCGCCGTAACTGGATGCTTTCCCGACCAAAACGCTGTAGAATATAAAATCCCCTAGACCTAACTTGACACCCCGTTCTACCTCGGTAACTGGGATTTGCTGTCCTTGCGGTTCCTGTACAACCCGATTATCTGGTTGCCTTGAGCTTTCGGTTAGCGACGAAGGATTCTCACGCACTTCTTGTGCCCTTCGTGCACCTCTGTCGCCTATGAATAAAATTGTTTGTTAGTTATTTTAACCACTAATACAGTAGAGTTAGGCCCGGTTCAGACACAACGATTTTCACCGCACAGAACAGACAGCAGCTATTCGCACACTGAGATCTTTCGAAAAAACTGTGCGTGTAGCAATTCCACTACATTCTACAAAACTAGAGGGAGCACCGTCTCTCTCCGCGATCGAATCCGTTGTGTCTGCATAGAACCTTATTATTCATATCCAACCATGTGTTTCTATCCACTCAAGGGTAAACCCGTCTTCTTCTGCCTGTCTGGGCGCAGGATTTGTAGGATTTGTAGGATTTGTAGGATTTGTAGGATTTGTAGGATTTTCGGGATTTTCTGGATTTTGATTCTCCGATTGGCCATGCACCGGATGTGTCGTATTGTCACTGGCAACGGCATCGCTGCTGGTCATTGTTGCTGCTTGTACGTAGCCAATGTAAGTCATTGTAGATGTGTACATCACAGTCGAAGAATAAATCAAGGCAGGGAATATGGATTCATTGCGTTCTTGAGCAGTTTCTACTAATATCCTCAGAGGACCCTTCGGCGTCAGTACAGCTATCAAATCTATGAAGGTCAACGATGAACGACTGTAGTTTATTTATAAGAATGGTAGTAATGTTTTCTATCGCATTTACCTTACCCCAAATACTGATAGCACCTAGAACAACCCATGCTGTCCACTCTGGCAGATACTTGATGAAGACAAGAGCCATTAAGGCGGAGATGAAGATAAGATACGCTTGTTGCAGTTGCAAGGGGCCCTGCCAATGTATACAAATCATTCCAACAACTCCAAAATTCCACGCGAATATACCTAACGTGATCAGATCCATTGGAATGTTGTAAGCTTTTAATATTTGCCTGGAATAAATTTTGCTTTTAGACAATGTAGAAAATAAAAATATTGTCGGTATAAATCCGAGTATACTCACTCGCAGTACAGAATAGAAAACATAGATAACAATAATAAGGAACTTAGAATCAACCATCCATGGATTACCATATAACATTTGTATTTGTACAGGACTATAAGTACCATTGTCATAACAACAATGACACTTATTAATATCGAGGCATTGGCAACTGCTTGCCAGGCTTTGGTACTTATGTCTGCACTATCTTCATGGAATGGAGTATATACTCTGAAAGAAATGAAAAATATTCTGTATTGTTTTTATCCCTAGATAAAAGTTTTCTACATGATGGGGACTTACAAGTAAACTCCTTTGGTTGTGTAGAAATTTATAGAACTAATTGTAGCCACTACAACTAACATACAAAGAGATACAGGCACAAATAATTTAATAACATGTGCTGCCCCATATTTTAGTTCCTCCTCCTCTTCATCGGTATAACTTCTGGACCTGCTCTGACCACTGTTATCCGAAGAACCTCTTCTAGCCGAACCTGCATTGTCTGACATATCAGGTACTTGTACATGTACATCGCGGACACCATTTTCAACCTATGAATTGTGTATATTATTATTATCAACCTTAAAATTAAAGTATATCTTCTATAAATATAGGTAAATAGTCAAATGGAAATTATTCCTTATTCTCTTAAGATCACAGGTCACATATTGGTCCTTGAATTATTGTTAACAGTGAAACATAGTTACAGAAAAAGATACATACATCAAAGACAGTGTAAATAATGCGCTGCATAAACAAAGGAATACTTTCATCGGTTTCGCTTCAGTATTGTTTAATGTTTCACTTTACAGAGTACCATGTTTCATGTATATTTATAGAGCTTAGGAATGTTCACAAATTATTAAGCTTATACGGTATTGGTTTACCTCTTCGTTATTAATACGTGAACGCCTTTTCCGACCAGTGTCCAAGCCTAGGTCATCTGTCCGAGACTCCGCTACGTGAGCGTCCATCAGGCTCGTATATTCGTCCGCCGAATCGTAAATATCACTCTCAGACATTCGTCAACCTTTACATCAGTGTATCCGTCGATATGAAAATCTTTGGACAGTATTCTGGACGCTTTTTTTGTATTTCCGCGCTTCGGTTTGTGAAAGGATCACGACCAGCCGCGAAACCCTCGACAGCTATTGGCAGCCATTTTCACGATGACTCACTGCGCCGACATCTAAGGTCGAGTTAAACGAACTAAATAAAGCGCAATTTCAGAATTTGAAAAACCGCTGTTCCAACTGTCAGACTACCCGTGGATTAAATATTTTCCGGGGATTCATTCTTCTATATTATTTGGACGAGGATCAAACTGTCTCGCTATGTATTTACGATTGATTCATCACAATTTTATTGTGCAATAAAACGTACATTCCATCGCGGAAATGTATACAATACGTTATCAGAGAAATCTTTGGGCAACAAATTCCCGTTACAGAAGAACAACGTATCTTTTTCGATCAATTCCGATCACCAATCTACGAAGAAACTAACTAACGCGTCCGAATACGGAGTTACACGTTTTTCTAGCCGATCTCTATTCTGCCCTACAACGTTGTAAATTCTGTGAATGACCCTTTTTTTCAATGGTACAGATTTTACAGCCGAAATTTGCTTACGCATATCAGAAAGTCTACTGGTTAGTTCAAGAGCGACCTGTGATACTACGAAACTCTAATTCCACTGTTCTCATTGGGCTAAAGAGTTGAAACCATTACAACTTGTTAAGTATTTATGAACAGAAAATCAGATTTTTTTTTTAAAGAGTACGCATATCTTTCCTGTTGTTACATATAAAAACAATTAGTGTTGCATACATGCAGGGCACAAAGCTAAATGTGTTACAATTGCGTACCTACAAGATTTACAATTTACTTGAAAGCAATTAAACGACCAGCAGATCAAAAGAAATGTTGCTGTAGAATTTGATCACCTTTTCTTATTGGATGAAAGAATGACGTAATTATAATATTGTAATTACTCCTGCTAAAATAAGTAATGATAGCTGTAAAGTCACCAACCCTCCTCCTCTCCCTTCAAAAACCAAAACTTCGACCACACTAAATAATTTCGCAGTAACATATTTAACTTTACACTCTGTGTATTAATTCTAATTTACACCGACAGAGAGGAATCGCATACTCATAACTTCTTCGTATTACCTCGAACAGTTAATATTTACAAATATTAAAAATGAGAACGAAATTGGTAATGCAATTTCAAGCGATACTGTCAACAGAGGATTCATTCGTTTTTACGAGATCCGTTCCGTACAAGTGTTACGCCCAGTAAGAAAAATAGTCAAGGACTATACTTATTATATGATAACAGCAATTTGTATATTTATAACATAAATAATAGCAAGTAGTTATTATAATGGTACTAATGAAGATAGTTAATTAAGTACAGTTTAGATACGGTTCGTACAAGCATTCTTACATAAGACTGCAATAAGTTCTTTTTTTCCTTTCGTATATATAAATATATACTGAATATACGTATATGTATATATATATATGTATATACTGCATACGTATATGTATATATATATGTATATACCAATATCTTTTTTTTTTCACATTTCAGTAACGTTGCGACATAATATTTCGCGGGGTAATAATTTTCCATGAATGACCTCGATGTCATTCGCGTGCGTAACAATTTTATGTACAATACATATACACGGCTCTTCTCAATTCTACATCGTTATAAATTAGTGAAAAAATAATGCTGCTTTGGCCATGGTCTGCGCATCGGTAATTATTTACCTACATCTTCGTTGCTAACACCTACACTTTTGAATGCGGTCTCTTGATAATCCTCAAAATAGTAAAAAAAACTCGAATCCTGTTCATCCCCCTCCCTTTCCTTTATCTATTACAATCTCAACTCGATTACGAATATATTCGCCATAATATATCTATATATCATTTCTTCCTAAACTCTGTTTTCATATCGACAGCGATCAATGATATATTTAATACTTTGATTATTATCACTGTGTATATTAAGACAAATCTTTCTCTAAAGCAAAAAGTGTATACTCTTACGCGATACGCCTTCTTTCATCATTCGGTTTACTTTCAAAACACTTCACGATTTCGCTCTTCTTTCCTCTCAATATTTGTTTTTTTTTTCTATTTTTTGTTTTAGACATTTCGTCCTCTCAGAAGTAACACGTTTTGACACATTATTTAAAATACTTATATCTCGAGTATCGTAAAGCACCAAGTACCTGTAACTTTGGTATGACAACAGAACTGTTCCCTAATTTGACCTCTTCCACCTACAAATGTACACGGAACTAAGACACTGTATGTTTTGTTAACACTTTTCCACCTGGAGACTTGTTAATAGATTTTCTATTATTTTCCTTTAAATCAGAAGTAAGAAAGAACTTGTTATTACACTATGTACCTCGAGTCACATTATCGATTGACGACTGTATTCTGCTATTGGAACTGAAAAGTTTCTCAACTGTTAATCGTTGATTTTCAAATGACTATTAAATACCTCCCGGTAGGTGAAGTGTTAACATGTATATCCTAAAGAAGGGTTTCCAGTCGTCGAAATAAAATAGAAACCACAAATGGAATGCATCGACTTCTCTGAAGGTAGGTTAAAAGACTTTCGCGATGGATACAGAATGAATAAAGTGTAGAAAAGATAATCGAACATGGAATGTGGCTGTGTGAATGGATTCAAAGAAAGTCTGGCAGACGCGAGAACGCAAGTTGAAGTACAACTCATTACAGTACTAGGAGACACACGTGACACCGTTTGACATGTAAAACGTCGATGTTAAAAAATAACATTTGATTCTCATCAACACTCTCGTAGACGCATTCTGCGATTACACAATAATTATGTTTTCTCTTATCATCCATTACAATTACAAGGAAATTAAATGTTTATCCCTTACGAAGGCATGTGTGTAATATCGAGGAGCTCGTTATCGTTAATATAAATTAAGATAGAAGCTTTCTTTTTAGTTGATAGAATTATTTAAGCTTACCTAGCCTGAAGTACACGGGTAAACTGATCTTAAGAATGTACTGTACAATGAAAAATAGCTGTCACGATAACACTAATAAGTGTACATATAACAAATATAGTTCCACTATTGTATCACCAATGATCCGTTAAATCTTCTCGTATATATTTATGCTCCAATAAATTAATTATTCACGTTGCAACAAATAAACAACGATCTGTACATTTAATATAAAAATTAAACCTAAGGACGGAAAACAGAAAACGCTAAGAATAATCAGATATTACTTGATGATCCCACCATAATGAGAACTTCCAAAACGGTGGGTGACCTGAACCCGTCTATTTTCGACCCCAACCAAACTCTACTAACTTGAACGTAGAGACGAGCGGGTCATCCTCGTGTGTACTGTATTATCGTAACGCGTCCTGTTAATTAGCATTTTAAAGAATTCTCTTAAATTACAATTTCCCGGGTGTGTTGACTCCCAAAACAACCTGTTGTGCAAAAAGTGTTCCTTTTTTTTTTTACGGTACTGATATAAAATTCCTTATTTATATCTTGGACTGTCAGGTGGCGTGGGTTGAGTGTTTGCCCTCTGTTTCGGTCCGGTCTTAAACGACATCTTCTTTACGGGTCTAGGGGAAATCCCATGGAGCGCCGTACTATCTGGAGTGTCGTTACTGAACCACACTCTACTTCCATCGGATACTGAAAGCAGAATAAGTCAGATTATCACTTCAGTCGGCATTGCATTTATCAAACCTGAACCACCAAGGCACACTATATAAGTATATATAGCATATAGCCAAAAATGCAATTCAATTAACGTATGCAAACACACAGTGGTGAAAATAAACGTGCAAATGACTGAAAGAAAAAATATTTGCAAAAACAAAAATAATCTGTGCTACTTGTGCATACAGAAACAATTAAAAAAAATATTCAAATGATGAATGAGTTTCAAATAATAGTCGCAATTATTTTGTTCTTTTTTTTTTTCATACAACAAAAACAAGCAGACCAGAGACAAAAAAAAACTGCAAGAGTGAGTACATCATTTTTGTAAAAAAATTGAACTTGTAAATTGTGAACGAGGTAAACGAGTGTATTAAAAAAACAGACACATTCATTTATAGCTGCACAATTTGCAAAAAGCTACAGTGTCCAATGCTATACAAATATAGGGTCTTAAAGAGCACTGGTTCGTGAGAAAAGTATCAACACTTCTAATTCTAAGACACTATACACACACAGCACTGTACTCTCCATCTATGAAGCAACACGAACAAGAAGTGGCATATGTAATGTGACATGAATCAGAAAGGAAGTTTTATCAATCTATGTCTAATATGCACGTAGAAAGGGAATTTTACCTCTGAATAGATTGTGTAAGACTGTTAAACAAAAATATAATTAAGAAACATGTGGATATCAAAAAAGGAACGGTTGTAATATATTCGTCTCCGGTCTTGATTCTCGAGAAATATTATGTTTCAACATACGCTAATAATATTTCCAGATTATTATTAACGTATGGCTGAAAAAATTTTAACGTCGAATGTATGATGTTGGGTTAAAAAAAAAAAAATGATTGAGGTGTAACTTCATGTAATCGAACAGGTTGGAGTTTTTTCGTTTGGACAAAACTTAGAAGACAGTGTATAGAAGTCTGCGGTAAATACTAATGTATATTATAACATATATGTATAGAACCACTACCAGGTAGTCTATGGAAAAAAAGAGTACACGGTAAATAAACAAGGATACACTTTGTATAGACAGAACGTAAACAGCACAGAAAAAAAAAAATAAATTATAATACTACCTTGTTGGATGGTGTTACAAGGTGGGTGGGGGTTAGTGGACGAATTAGTCACCTCTATTCGCGCGGTTATCACTGCTCGCCGCCGATGAACTTCGTAGCCCGGATCGACCCTGATGTGAATCTATAAGCGCTGCTGCGAGGTTTGACGATGCTGTGGATTGCACGCTTGTTGTAGATCCTGACAGTATGATATTGATAGTAATAATAATAAACGATCGACGCTTCCATGCAGAAACTATTAAAAAAGGGGGTTCTCTGTTCAGCCCTAACTTCGAACCTCTGAACAGCTGATAAGCCGTTCAGGTTCTATTGGACGTTCTAGAGAGAACTCTATGTATCTCGGAAATGCTATTGCAATGGTTAACGAAAACTGTGCACTGAATTAAACTGCAAATAAACACGATTCCCACGTAGCTACGCCACTAGTTTAAATCAGAATTAAATTTCTATAGATGTTTAGAGAAATTTTACGATTCGTTTTCTTACTAACGTATACAGACTAACCAGATACGGATGAAGCCCCGCTGAATGGGCTTGGTGGTTGCACCGGAGAGTATACGTTCGCTGTGAACTCCTCGAAGGTGGTAGCTTCCTTATGATTCCTCATAACAGTATCAATGGACCTCGCTCTCTCCTCATAACTGTGATGTTACGTATATCAATAAAACATTAAATTACCTGTACACTATGTTCCACAATACACGCAAAAGATAATGTACTCACTAATGTTGATACAACGTAAGCGTAGAACGTTTCGCTCGACTCGCCGCCAGAGCTGTTGTTCTTACTAATCCAGGCAGAACTTTATCCTCCACGATACACTCGTCGAACAGCGGCCCGAAAAATGGAATTTCTGCCTTTCGTGATATCTGAATTCTGTACAAATTATTTTGCAACGGGTAGATCACTATTAAAACATCACAAAATTCCGTTGGTATGATGTCTCTGCGATAATCCCTCCAGTGTTCCGACCAAACTATGTGAATTTCATCGTTTCCAAGATGGCGAGTCTGAAACGAATTTCCTCGGGTAGATATTTTTTCTCGTGTCTTCGGATCGGATGTAACAACGTTTACCTTTTGCAACAAACTTTCTGGACAGTCCGAAGGCATCCTGGTCGCCACATGAAACAGAATTTCAGTGAAAGACGTCGCAAAGTACGGTGCTGTGACCCCCGAAGCTTTCCCAGGAACGAGGCCACCGAGGAAACCTGTGTGGGATTCAAGTTCGACCTCCCAAGCTAATCTCGCGACGAAGTCCTCGTATTCCTTGCTAGCTGTAACGTTGCTCAGTATAGAGTTCTTGTCTTCCTGCCCTTGACTGACATAGATCACCGCGATTTTATGCGTTTCTCTGGATCGTTGACTGTCGAGATTTCGTAGCTCCCGTAACAGCTTCTCGTTTTTGGACAGTAAATGCAGTTTTCGACGCTGTTCCCAACCAGACAGACCGAAATGCGAAAACAGAAGGCGGCAGTGATGAAACGGCGCTGGAGGTGGACGACAGGAAGGCGGACTTATTGCCGATGCGCACATGCTAAAATATCAAACGTACAAATAAAACTGAAAATAGCGACTGCGTAGCTCAGCCAGCGTACAGGATGTACCTAATATGTTGACTCCAATTGTTGATATGCTCCTGTTCTGCATTCCTCTGACTGAGAATGGTGGCAATAGTTTCGCTTTCGAGGTAGTGACCCTGCGGAGGGTTTGCTGGCGCATTGAGTGCTATTTCTGGATTGGTTAATACTTCGGGACTGGTATGTCCTATGTATTGTAAGAGCTAAAAATATAAATATGTCGTCAAGTACCACCAATTTTCATTCTAATACAAATACAGTCGATGAATTTATTTCAAATGTTAAATCTTACATCATCTAAGTTATCCATATCGCTCGCACCATTCGTAAACGTAGGTAAAACGTGAGGTTCACGGTGCCGTATAGTATGTCGAGGTGTACACGTCTGAGGCGTTATAACACTGCTTAAATCGTCACCGTGTGGTTTCGTTTTCCATTCGACTGAAATTATATGTGTGTGTACATATAAATATATATTAAACTGCAGGTAAATTATATCGATTTAAACACAAATAAATATTTTAAATTACCGTGCTTTGTAAATGCTACCGGAATATCGTCGTCAACAGACGGTTGACTATGTAAGATAGAGCTGTCCCACGAAGCTTTTCCCGCCAAATCTCTCAATAAAACTCTGACCAACGACGGAGCTGTTGTTAAACCAGCCGTGACACCGCCACCTGGTGCATCCAGTGCGGCTAGCTCAACGAGTGACATTATCACGGAGTTTGACAACATCAACAATTGTATATTCGGTGCATGAAAAATGGCGGACGATAGCTCATCTCCATCAATTCCTGGTACATCGTCCAATTCGACGACCAACGAGGACAAACGAGCGGCTCCAATGCCCATTGGAAAGTGTCCCAGGTGATTTATTAAATGCATCATTACCTGAGAACATTTTCAGTTTTTTATTTCGTTTTTATAAAACTAATATTCTTAGAAAATACGAGTTCAATGTGCGTTACCATTTTTGCTGCCAGTTGAACAGACTGAATATTGCCCCTGCGAGGTGACTTGACGCAAGTCTCATCAGCTAAATTGTCCAAAGTAATGTCCGGATCAAAGTCGTCGTCTTCATCCTCGTGGCTTCTGTTTGATTGTGACAAACCCTTGCTACTTTTGTCTTGTACTATATTATCCAAGACCTGCATACGTATATACGAAACTGTTAATAGTAAGACAATATAGAATTTCGATTCGTACACGTGTGAAGGGTACTAACGGTGAATAAAGTCATTAACAAAGGCTTTCCCTGAAACACCCGCAATAAGACATCCGGACCCAGATGCATTGCCCATTCGCCCAAGCAAAATAACATTGATATTGTCAATGGGCCGCGTCTTTCTCGAGCACTCATATATCCAAGCGTTTCTGACAAAATCTAAACAAAAAAAAAAAAACATAAATGTAAGAACAGTTATACTCTTGAAGATTCTTAGATAAAACTTACTTGAATTATTTTCGATGGCACATTTGGATACAACTCCAGGAGGGTATCCGCTTTATCACACAACAATTGGAGAGAGTCGCACGCCACTTGAGCAACAGTGGCATGACTGGCCTGGATAATAAAGAATACACTGTTACAAAGTCTTATATAATTAATATACCTTCGTTAGCTCTATTTCAATTAGTATTAAATAGGAAACATGTTAATCACTAATTTTACGAAAGGTATAATGAGATCGGACACTGAAGTATATATCGTTGGACATTTTACAGAGACACGACCGTGCAATAAGACCATGCAACGTTGACAACATCCTTAAAGAAGACACGTAGACATCAGTCTCGACAGGTAAATACTGTAACAACACATAATAAAGGAGGTCGATACATGTCGGTTAATCTATGAAAAAACTACCTGATCCATCAGAGGGAAATAGAAACCAGCTCTGCGACGTTCTGCCCCCTGCATCCGCTGTCGATCAGACTCAGTGGAAGATATACTGAATTTTTCACTACTACTACGACATATCTACTACACTTAGCTCAGACATTGTTAGATAAATTGACCTAAGAGATTGCAACTACTAATTCTATTAATACTCTACGCAGGTGCTTGCTGTTTCACTGAAAACTGTATCCCAGGTGCGAAATAATAAATCATTATGTAACTCAACATTACACTGCTGTTCATAAGTATCAGGACACCTGGTCCGTATGGAGAAAATGTGATATCAGACTTTCAATTTCGTGATATCTCATTAGCAGACTGAGGATTTTATGCATTTATAGTTTAAAGGGCTTTGTGAAATATGATAAAAGACAAAACTTTCATTCGATCCCCAACGAGATTCATTTATTTATTATTTATATTTCATTCTGAACCCAATAAGATACTTAGGAGGAAAAATAAATTTCTAAATTTGCTCCTGTCTTCATAAGTTACTTTAGAAAATATTATTTTGCATAAAAATCCGCAGTCTATTCATTACCGTTGTTCCATATTCGATAAGTGTTCTAATATTTATAGACGGGAGTGTACATAGTGTAACATGCAGATTTCATTTAAGTGAAAGAAACTGATCACACAAAACGTATTTTCTATCTGCAGTTTTCACCTGTAACAAATTCACGAGACTTACTCTCAGCGCTAAAAGAAGAACTGTGACCGACTCAGGGATTCTCGGGTGTTGATTTTTATAGCATAGTTCTCTATAAACGAACATAGCAATGCTTGAGAGCGCCACGCATCTTGCGATGCCAGTTGGTTCGCGTCTACAGCTTCTTAAGAGTATCGTGATTATATGCTCCTAAAATAAAACGATTCATATAATGTATACACATATATATAAGATACGCACAAATATGTGTATGTATTTACTTTTGCGTCTGGACATGTCATGGTTACAATATCGGTTGCAGTGGGTTGCAGTACAGGCAATTTAACCGCGGTGACAGGCAACGACAATAACGATCCAATTATTGAAACAGCTTCTGTCCTTGGCGCCTGTAACAAATTATTATTATATGCATATATTCTTATGATCTCGTATACTGTTGTAAAATCATTACACAAGTTTTACAATACCCCGATATCTTGACTGCTCAATATCACATTAGCAGCGTGAATGTAATCCAAGTTCAGTAGACTGGAGCCGGGAAGATTCAAACTGAACAACCTGGGTCCAGTATACTTCACAAGCACGTGAAGCACTTTACTGTCATTACTGACGATACCATTGTGAACTGCACGATAAAACAGAGTCAGGTGTTGTTTCGGTAGATTGATGTCCTGCGGTTGTATAGTCAACAGACAGATCAAACGGTATGCTGCTAGCTTGCCGACTTCATATTGATCGGGAAGTTGTATCGCCTAACGTACAATTTTATAAATTAAAAGTCACGTATTCTGGCCAGATTAAAAGTGGTAATTTATCACTGATAAATAATAATAACCTTGAAACACCAAGGAGCAATCACTGTTAATGGAGGAATGAGCTCCGGAGCTGGAGGCGTTACCTGATTGTCTCCAGACACGCCTTGATTTAAACGAATCTGTTTGGCACAGAGCAAGTAACATTGATTTGACTATATTTATTTCATACTGATTAATGACTTAAATACAACAGATTCTAACCTTTACGAGCGTTTGCGTAAGCTGCACAAGGTAATCCATTACTTGACCATGAAGAGTTGGATCTTGAATGTTATTTACATCCCCTAATGCTGACAACATACGTCTCCATAATACCACTGCCACATCAGGTAACCATCCACGAACACCACCACCAGCCATAACAGATCTCCTTTCTGATGCATCATTTGTATCTGTAGAGAGCAACGCTGCATTTACAAAATCGGTACAAACGTTAGTAATATCAAAAACTCTAGTGCCCAAATTGACACAAAAACGAAAAACACTTTTTATAATTGAGTACCTTCAAAACTCGAAGAAATGAGACATAAAAAAGAAAAGTAAAAAGCTATTAATAATTTCATACACATATTGAAAAACGTGAAAACCAAATAAATTGTATTAAACCGTATCAAAATCCTGTATAAAAGGGCTCGTTAATTTGCGGGAATATAAGCGAAGCGTATGATACAAATAAATTATTCTCAAACTAAACAAAATATATAACTGTTAGTTATCACATCAATGAACAATGATCGATACATAAATATATATTCTGGAAATCGTGAAATGCTCACAGACTGTTATGCGATTAAATATATTGGATTTTTATAGTTTTATGAAAATAGTAACAGGTCTACTTACCGATACTACTGCCGTCAATGTTTTCAATTTGTATGGGGCTGTCTTTGTTGCTGTCGACCCCGCTGCTGGGCGTCGGAGACGGACAACGCGGTGACGGTGGTTCGCTGTCAACTATGACAATGCTGTCCAGCGACTTAGCACGCCTGTTCGCGAACATTTTCCTGGTCCGTCCCGACGAAGACGCAGTACTGCTTGACAGTAACCGCGCCATATCTTGCTCTATCGATAGGGGGAGTACTGCGCGGGTGGAAATTGTTTACACTTAAAATACACAAATAAGCCACAAAACGGGAGGGAGAAATGTTTCTATCGAAATGGTGCTCCTCGTCGTTTCACGGTTTCGTCGAGTGAAATTAGGAGAGCAAGCACAAAGAGGAGGATGTTGCGAATGAAGGGGGATGAAGAGAAAAAAAACGAGAGAACGAGACAAGTGTCTGGCCTGACACAAGACTGGTTATTTTTAAACCGGTGTCAGCGTCCAAGCGAAAAAGTAAAAGACAAAGTTATAAATAAATTTGCACGCGCTGTCAGCAACACAGATGGCACTACCGAGAGAATTACCGAAGTCACCAGAATTTAACCGAGAGAGAGAGAGAAACTCGACGAGTAGTCAGATATTTACCGGGAATACCGCTGTGCACGGTATGAGTACGGTTCCTATGGAGCTTCGCACGAGCTTTTCCATTATATATCGTGTTATCGCTTGCACTGCGCGGCAGAGGTCGTACTTTTCTCAAATCTCGCATTGGATGATCTATTTGAGACAGACAAATATTTAGTCATTGGGAAATTAAAATTCTTAGTTGTACCAACAAATGATTTACTATTTATGAATAGAAGATTGATACGTCCAATGCAATTGAAGAAAAAAAGCTTAGCAGTGTTTCATACCAGTAACATTATCTTTAGAAGCTGTATGATTTTCTTGATCAACGCTTCCTTTCCGCGGCGGTTGGACACTTCCGGTAGAGGCGGCTCGACTTCCGACACCCCGACGTTTTTTAGTCTTTTGCTCACTCAGTCTATCTAACGGTAGATCATTGAGATCCAGGTTGTACACGTGCCTCGCGAGTACCCTCGTTAAAGTATCCAACGTTTTCTAGAAAAAAACATTCACATAAATATCATGCCTGTTTCGGAGGCTATTTAAAGCGAACTCGTTAACTATTATATCGAACTTACCGCCCACTCTCGAATTAATTCTTCCCATTGGGTCAAAGATGTCAACACCTCCAGAAACTGATCCCACAACTGAGTAGAAATAACAACGTTCAGATTGGCTTTAATCCACGTGACAATTAATGTTTGAAATATGGCGGGTGCGAGTTTACCGCCGATGCTGTCTTGAACTTTTCGTCGTGAGGTTTTTTCATTCAGAACGAGCGACGTTATTTGTAACAATACCCTTATTAAAAAAAAAAATGATAAAATTTGCACCATGTAATGTTAATATTGAAGACAACACAATTCGTGATACATATATGTACCTAAGCAACTGTTCCCAAGTACTAGGTTCTAATCTAGAATGCATAACGACGTAACGATATACGTTCAACACTCTTTTACAGCTATCCGTTTGCTCCTCCAGTAACGTCATGGACGCATTCAGTCCCGAATATTCTAAGAAAAAAACGTTCGAAGCCTGCGTAATGAATATTTGCAGAACATTTTGCAAGCCCGCTCTGATAAACAAATTCTCCCTGTGTATAGCACCGAGGTATGAATCATTCCTCAATCTTGTTTGACGATAACTTTCAGATGGACTTTTGTCCATATCGTTGCCATCCTTCTTCAGGGTATCTTCTAAATCTCTTTCTTTGTGACTATCCAATGGTTCTAACATGAACGGAGGAAGTTCCTAACGGCAAAATAATTCAGATACTTAGGAACAATGTTCCACTGGTCACCTCTGTTGTACTTCGGTAATAGTTATTTATTTACTCACATTCATCTGTATCCAATCTTTATAAACGGCTATAGCCTTTCTTATAGCACCGGCATGATTAAAGTCCAAAAGAAATGCTTGTCTATACAATTCATGTACAAAATTCACGTTGTCTCTGTTACCATAAAGAACTTCCCTGACAAGAGTGACAGCTGAGACGGTACTATCCTCCTGATTTTGATTCTCCTGCTGAGATACAGTTGATTCAGGCGACAGTAAACTAGAATCGGTGGAACTCTGTGTGACCGAAACACGACGAAGCTCCGACTCCGTGGTTTCTTCGTTTGGAGTTGTGCTGAAAGGGATGTTTATTATTTGATGATATACGAACTACAAAATTTGTATGGTATAATTTTACATTTTCTAATTTTAAGTACCTCTGCGAAAGATGTGCGAAGAGACCATCTTTTCTAGCGATATGCGTGAAACTAGCAATCCATTTGATTAACGCGACTTTACACAGTACATAATTATCCTGACTTTGATTCGTTGGTTTACGCATCATAGGCAATTCTAAATTAGGTTTGTACAAGGAAAAATTATCGTCGAACTCAGGGCATATATGACGAAGGTATGTAGCCTTAAAACGTTCTAATAAAAACTGGAAAGTCTTGTGCTGTCGTGAAGATTTATCTCGCCATTCTATTTTTACAACCTGCAACAAGAATTTGACAGAAAAGTTTTTATACTATTTCCAATATCGTACGCGTCAGTAAGTATTACGCATTCAAGTATACCTGAGTAACCATAAATTCAAGTAATGCTTCTAAAAATCGAACAGTCTCATTATCAAGAGGCTTTTCTCCACTTTGTGGAGGTAAAATCGGTCCACCATCAACTGGATTGACCGGACACTGACTCGAGCCATTGTCATGAAAAGTACTTTGTGATAATTGTGTATCGTAAAACTCCTTCTTGTCTTTATCATCACAACCAGCTACTTTTGCAGGTTTATTTTTACCATCCACCTTACGGTCCGACTTGTAGGGAGACGGTTGTTGGGGTGGAAAACCTGGTACCAGGCTGGCAAACATTTGATGTATGTGTTCAGGTGCATTTTCACCAAGTGCTTGGTACCACAGAACGAAATACCTAAAATGAATTTGAAAGTATCTTACATGAAAATATTTATAATCGAAATAAATACAAGCATTTTTATTTTTTGCCTGATTTAAAAAAAAAAAGCAATTAAAATCTTCTATGCACCTTATGGCTTGCCTACGAAGTTTCCAACTATTACCGGGGTGTAAAAGTTTCTGTAAAATCCTTGCCAGACTATGACACTGCCATCTTCTGTTAAGTAGCTCGGGGAGAAGTGTTAGAACTTTCTCTAAAAGCTGCAACACCTGCTCCAATTCCTCCCTATGTGCTTTGTGCACTATAAAAATATATTTTCTTTAAAAAATGTGTAACATATTTATCAACAGTACTTTCATTTGGTATTCCATTAACAAAAACTAAACAAGATAAAAAATAGCACTAGTCCATGTGTCTCCTAAGCGCATGCTGGTTATACTAAGGGGTATGCTTGTAAGATCAGATACACAGATCAGATTATTGGAACCAGGACTGCAACATGCCTGGGACAAACATATATATATTCATCCATCTTTTACTCACCAATGTGGAAGGAAAGTTCTGGCAGCAAAATAGAGAGAAAACAAGCAAATAGTAAAAGAATTATAATATCAGGATTACAAAAATTATATGTAATTTGAATACATTCAGTACTTCTATAAACATAAACTGCATTGGTTACACCAATGGAAATAGAGACTGCAGTCATGTCCACATTTATATGCGATGCAGTTGTAATTTACATTGTTTAGATATGAACTGTTCACATCTGGAAATAATCTTACCTCTTTGCCGCAGGTTTGCTTCAGCTGAGACAAAACAATCATAAAGAATAAAATAGACATGACTAAAGTTGCCTTCAAAAAACCCCTTTGCCTCATCAGTGTCCACATTTTCTGTAACAGAGTGCCATTAATTTTTCATTACTAATTCAGAAAAATCTACATTTTATTTTCTCAGTTTTAAATACATTTTCTACAATTACATTAATTAATAAAATGAAACTGCACAAAATGATATTTTTTATATACAGCAGTTCAATAGATCCAGAAGTCACAGCTGCTTTTTCTTTAGATGAGGTTTGATTTATTGATAGTGATGTGAAACCTCTGTTACATCATCACTAGTCTTGTTCACCTGTACTTATATAGTAGAACTTCTTTCTTATATTTATGTCCTTTTATCATCACCATAAATACTATTCTTACATGTAACTATATGTAATCAGAATTATATGGTCAATATAAGAGTAATGAAATAACAAGGATATTTATAATTCTGTAGATACCAACTAAGTATTTAGTACATTAAAAACATTAGCATAAAGCTGCAGGTAAGAAAAAGATTTTTTTTAATATTTTTACTTTTCCTTTCTAAATTGTTTATATAATACTTTAACTCACAAATAAGCTATAGAATGTTTTTCAATAATTATCAATGATTACACACTTAAACCTGCATCACTATCTATACATAATAATAATGTAACATTAGACAGAAATGGAGGCCATGGTAGGTTGGTCACTGTGGTCATGCGGTTTGGTGATTAGATACCAACTACCTATGCATACTATAACCATTGCATTAGAATTACAGAGACAAGTTCATCATTTTTCTTTCGACTAAACATTTAACAATGTTTTTATACAGTACAAACAATTTTCTACAGATACATTATAAATGTAGCATCAACAAACATTTATAACTGGACTATAGATTTTATATGTTTATGCTATTGATAATGTTTACAATACGATAAAATAAAAAACTTTAAAGAATATCAATCATATTTTTATTATATATTCAGTTTGATAAACTTAATTTATGATTCCTTGATTTCACATTTTTGTAAAACAAGCTACGAGAATCAGATTGTACATTCATTTCCGTTAAAAAATGTAATCGTACCATTTCATTTTTAATTTACGTATTACAACTTCGGAACGTGTTCCTAAAAAAAAAAATAATATTGCAACGCTACAACAGCTGACGACAGGAAATGACCGAGTGTCACGGTAAAAGATAGAATTGATCGGGTCGTATTTTCGTTGGATTCTTGTAGTTCCACGACAACGTTAATAACGTCTCGGCGCGTTCACGCGTAGGCGGCAAATGCTAACAAAATTGCCGCCCCTCTCAACGGTCGTCGTGTTCATTAGCTGGGAAACTGGTTGTTCCACGATTAATTACGACGAACGGGATTAACATTACGAATGTGTAATCGCAGGAGATGCCCCGAATAAGACGTGGCTGGCTCACCTAGTACGATCTTAAGGTGCTTGAACCGGGTCGCGCTATCCTTTTTAACATCCTGGATCTTCAATGTTGACTTTTTGACGTCTACATGAAGTTTTTTGCTGAACATGGTTCAATGCGAGCCGCCGCCGGCCGCGACGACAAGAACTATCATCGATGGTGTACAGGGTGGTCCTCATGGATACTGGCCGACTAACTACGCACTGTCACCATGTCAGGGACTCGAAATGCACAACCCGTTTTATCACGGTACGGCGTCAAATTTCGCGAGCGCACACACCTCCGATCAGATGTACGTGGCAGCCATCTTGACATCCTCGCCGCGCACTGCTCATAACCTGTCGGGGCAATGACATCATCGTTCGCGGGCTTGGCTGAAATTTATTTGAAATTAACAGTCGTACGAGTAGACTATACATATTTCTGCCAATTTCCAATTCCAGCCACCAATCGAGTATTTTGTTTTTATTGGCTCTATGGACGCTGTTCCAGAAAATGTGAAAAGAGAGAATTTGGACGGAATTTCATTTTTTGTGTTAAGGGTATCGTTAAGTGACTAGTAACATATAATAGTAGTGAACGTTATTAAAATTGTTATTTTATTGTTAAATAATTATTTGGAAATTTCGAGGCTGCTTTATGAGTGCCAAAACTGTATTGTTTTTAAAATTGCCGCACTTTATACTGTTTTACCGATTCATGGTAATCTCCCCCCAAAAATTAACTTTGAAACATATCAGTCTAAATAGAAGAGTTATTTCTTGAGGATTTGTTGTTATTTAATGGTTCGAATTTGAATTTTTTAAGATTATTTACAAAATTATTTGAATCATATGGTAATATTCTACATTATCCACTGAGTGGTACTGAAAGTCACTATACGACCGATTCACATTTGTTCACCTGTCTAGGAACATTTTAAGAGGATGTGACGTCTACGCGTTCAACAAACTTGGCGGTCATCATCATACTTGAACATCATGTCGCAGACCGACAAAATTTGTATGGAATTGGCTTTTAACCAACGAATCAGTCAAAGTCAACGAATTAAAGTGACAGAATTTTGGAAATTTCTTGATACTGCGACTCAATTGAAGCCTTATATCATATCTTCAGGTACGTATAGATACAGTTGCGTTAAATGTGTGTTTCTCTCAAGAATACTAATACCGGTGATTCACAAGAGAAGATACCGCTGGCGAATTATAATTTTGGAATCCTTCAGGTAAAGATTCTACGATAGAGAAAGACAAGGACGAAGGAGCATCGAAACTGACGAAAACAATGTGGCAGGACCAATTGAGAGTCCTTCGAGAACATGGATTGGATGAAGCAGCGCTCGCAGCAACCGAATTCTGCAAACTTTGCAACATCAAAACTACCGACAAGTAACCTCAAAGTAACTCAAACGAAATCGGAAGATCCTCATCTCGTCTGTCCTCAACAGGTGCTCAGAATTAGCTGACACTGTACCAGAACCCTACGAAGACATATTGAATGACATGGAAACCTTTGAAGAGAGATTAAACAACAAACCACAAAACGATACCAAAATGTAAGAAAAATAAATTTTCGCGTAATAAGCGATTTTGTAACGCTTCTTTATTAAACTTCTGCATATGGACACGGAGATATGATTATTCGTAATGTTACTACTGAATATTTCTGATTGTTCGAGAACTTCAATATTTTTGATTTTTATTCGAATCAAGTTCAATAAATTCCATCAGTACAATTTACAAAAACAAAAAGAAACCGGTACGAAAAACCGATTAAGAGCATACACAGGCAATAAGGTTCCAGATCATCCTTTCAAGTGCTCCAAATGCAAGCCTGAAGTCTTCTTGGTATCTACGGGAAACAACGTGGCGATCGTAACGAAAAGTGGTTCGAACGATATATTCGTATAATATATAACAGAATGATAGTAACGTGTGGTTAGTGCACGTCCCGTTTTGAAAGACGACTGATCACTCCCGACGCCAGCTAATTCTCCAATCATTTTTCACGATTCTGGACCGGCGCCAGGCAGGTTCGAGCGTTCTCAGTTTCTCTGGGAGATTTGTCAACCAATTTTCCCTCTCTCTGAACACGGGGAGACCAAAACTTTTCGGATGCGCGCTGGAGTGGCAGTAAGAGGGTAACGCGAGAGACTCGGTGGGCCAGATGTCGTGTACGGATCCTCAGGCGTCCTCCGGTCCCATTCATGGCTCCTGTGGCGGGGCACCTTGCTCGGACCGAACAACGTCGACCTCCTCCTCTGCACCACAGAAATTCGATACTGCCTCGGAACCACGGAACCGTAAGTTATATATCCCCTCCCTGCTTGCCCGTATTCTAACTTGTTTCCAATTCCCAATTCTACGGATCGGGAGCATTTGATATTAGGCTTGATGAAATATAAATGACCGTTCTCACCACATTCGGATTCTGTGACATTATCATCGTGTTATGGGTTTCGTCCTATCAACTATTAGAGCCTAATTTCGATCCTGTAAAGTCTTAATCCTCCTTCGTTGTGGTGGTAACAGAATTGGTCCTAGATATACAGATGTCACTTTTCTATCGAAATCGTTCTTCAATGAAAGAAAACTAAACGTACGTACACATACGTCCCACTATCTCTCAAGAGGTTAAATATAATATTTACAAACATTAACAGCAAGGTACCTTTCCACAGATGATTCCGGCTTGAACCCACCTTCCTCCAGATCGATCCTCGATACCACTTTAAAGAAAAGACAGTTCGGCCCCACACAAGAACTCAGAGCACGTACATACATTCATGGTGAGTCTTCACGCATAAAAACATATTACGGGACTATATTTACATATTTACGGGCGCGTCATTCTGACAAACTTCGAATGCCTCCTAACCTCGAAATTCTCTATGTGGTATACCTATCTCCACGGACAGGCGTCAATTCGCGGTCGTAAATTGAGTATTAAAAAAAGTAAGTGTCCGTGGAAATACGAATATAAAAAATGTTCGTAAATCTAGTGTTAAGGGGGTTAAAAATGGAGGAAGGGAAGACTCATGGAAGAGACAAAAGAACGTCGCAGCCCGGAATGGGGGGTCGCCGTTCGCCGAAGGTGGGGGCCCTTTTCCCGTTGACGGAGATTCGACGAAGCAGAGATGTTTAATCGGTGTTGGCCCGCATCAGGTTGATCGAGGACCCCCCAGCCGGGTGTGCTCGAAGACGACGACGACGACGAGGACGACGAAGCCGTGGACGCAGAGAGTTGCGGGCTCGCGATGACGGGAAGGGGGAGGGGAAGGGGGGACTAGAACGGAACCGGGGTGGGTACCAGGGGAGAGGCTGTGCGCCGTGCCGATGAAGCGAACAATGGAGGCGGGATGCTCATTTGTCTGCGGGCATTGTTGTTCACCCGGCCGGAAACACGAGCTCTCCGTGCTCTCCTTTCTCTCTCTCTCTCTTTCTCCCCCTCGACCAACGGCCCCTACTCTTTCTTTCTCCTTCAAGCTACCCCCCTTTCCGCTCGTTTCGACTGCTGGACCTATACGCGTACCCCCTCCCCCCTGCTCTGCCCTACCCTGGCGATTTTTGAGACGTGCCGCTACCAATCGTACCTGCGTGATTTTCGAGGATCGATCGACGATGGATTTCCTGCGACTGACAAGCCGTTGTTCGATCGAATTGTTAAATAAATGTGAAATTTTCGAGGATTTCATTCAACTCAGCCGGTTTCAGGCAACTATAATTTAAATCGATAGTTATTTGTATCAATTTAAACGCAAAAAACGGCTAATTCGCAGATGATAATACGATACATTTCTGTTCGAGAATGCAGTTTAGAAGGAATATACAAACGAATCATGACACAGTACTTCGTCGTTCCGTTACGTAACCACACACGGGCCAGAGAGCTATCGGAAGACCCGACGAAGAAATTCGCGGGCATTCGGAGGGGGATCCAGTATCCGGGGCACGTTCGGACACGTGTGCACAAAGAGACGTTCTACGGGGGACGCGTCGCGTACGGGCCCTACAGCCCCGTGTCCGGTCACCCGTTAAGAAGGAAGCTCCGGGGCCTGATGCCCAAGATAAGACCTCGAGAGGGGAGGGAGGGTGTCTCTCCCTCCTGGTCGCCGTCTCAGGGCCCACGTAGTGGTACCGAAATTTCGTGGGGAGAGGGGGCCAACGTTGCAGGGCCCTCTCACGTAATCCACGGATACGTCGTGACGAATTTGTACGGCTGGCCAATGAGCCAGAAGCCACCCTCAGTTGCCCCCTTCTCCCCCGTCCTCCTTCCGCGCGTCCAGCGACAACACAACCGATGAGGGGGGGGGGACCCACGAAACCGGGCCCCCCTCGTTCAAAATGGCTACCGTCCGCATCGTTGGGCACCCGATTATAAACTACACTACCGTCCATAAGTATCCGAACACTTTGCTGGGCCCTCGAGTGAGTACATAAATACACAGTGTGTCTGTCTGTGTGTGTGTGTGTGTGTGTGTGTGTGTGTGTGTGTGTGTGTGTGTGTGTGTGTGTGTGTGTGTGTGTGTGTGTGTGTATTCAAGTGTATCGTGATCTCTCGATGTCCTTCAATAAGACTAATTTCGAACAGATGATCCTAGGGCCCAATGAGAACTTGGGTGGTCGAGAGAGAGAGGTTTAACTTAACGAAAAATGTTTGAACACTGACTGTTATTATTAGAGTGGGGATGTTTATGCAAAACCGACATTTTCGGCATTAATTTTTTAACATAAAAATATGATGGAAATTTTTTATGTGTATAATTAAATTCGCGGCCTTGACAATTAATTATTGACTCAGAACCACCATCATTTTCTACCACCGTCAAATACCCCAGAAATGGCGCACGTAAATGTGTAGAAAGTGATGGGGAATAGTTTCGAGACTAGACTGTACTTTAGTATTTTGTAAGTAAATAACAAATCTGTGTAAAGAAGGCAACGATTTAATTCGTATACCTAATGTTTCCTGCACTAGATACCCAATTATGTTGATGATAATATATAAATATCTTTATTTTACTATATTTCGCATATGTCTAGTCTAGTCAGTATAGTTATTGCGTGGAGACTGATTCACTAACATGGATTGTGGTCGAAATTGCAATGTGTCACGGAATATTAGCGAAGTAATCCGGGTACTTATGAACGATAGTGTACATACTCCCTTTTCGATACTGCCCCCACCCCCACCTATTCTGTTCTC